AGCTGTTGCAAACTTTCTTGCATGGTGCAGGAAATTTTAGAGGGTGGGTTTGTGGGCGCCCACAGGATGGGTTTTGGGCAAAAATCAAAGTTTTAAACTCGCGCCCAACTGCAAGAGTTGCTGGACTAGGGTCAGTAGTCGATTGAGAGATCACCTGTGGGGTCCTTTACCCGCTCACCCTCTAAAGATACTCGCACCATATGTATGATAGTTTCCTCAACTTTGCGGATTGGGGGCGGGTGCATGTTCCGGCCATAACGCAATAAAAACGCAATCTCTAGTCTACCTGGCGACATGAGCAGAGTACTCGAGTATAGTGGATCAGGGCAGCCACTAGCCCCCAACCTAGCATCTTTTGACCCACCAGAACGCTAATTCCATCCGACTGTCCAGTAGTCTACAGGAAGTCAGTCACCAAACCCCGCATCTTTCCCGACATCAGAGCCCTACTAAGCCTGAGTCAAAGGAATCAATTATCCTACATCGACGATAAAACAGTCTTCGGGAACTTGCCGGAAAGGGCATTTCTCGCCCTCGCTTCAGATGCCATGATTGACGAGTGTGCGGAGCACCCCACATGCAAATCCCTCCCTCCCTCCCGCACCATTTCAAATAGTTTTCCCGCTACGAAACCCTCTTATTTTGGAGAAAAAGCTGAAACCCCACCCAGATGCTAGCAGTGATCTACAGAATCGGTGGCTTGTGCGGCGTTGTGAAGAATCGGGTACGAGGAACTTGCGGGAGGATATTGATGGCTGGATGGGGCGATGGAGGGGGAGGGGGGGAAGGAACATAGGTGCCAGCTGCCAATTGCGCGTATCCTTGGACTGCACCAGAAGACTACGGGCAGGCTGCAACGGCACTAGTCCAGCGTCCTACTAGGTATATTTTGCGTTCAGCTATCGCAACCTACTGTGCGAGTGCGGTACTGAATATTAGCGCTTTATTCGAGCAGTTACGTGTGAGGGGGGAGTGTGATGGGACATGTTATGGCGTGAAAGCCAGATGTGAACCCTTATAGCATCTCAATTCTCAACGACCTGGAGCAATAGCGATAACAATTAATATGTAGCTTCCTGGATTGCAAGAATCCGGCATCCGATTCCAGTTCCCATTCTCGTAGCTCCTGCCATGAATGCCAAACGGACATTCCCGAGATCTAACTCTCACCACACTCCCGTACTAATTCGGGCCCCAACCATCTCACATAGAAGGGTGACAACAACGTGATAATGACAACATGGTGAGCTTGCCGGCGAGTCAGTGATCGGGTAGGACTGCACTGAATTCCGATCCTGTCCGTAGCACGACACGCAACCAAGAATAGGATTTGGCTATTGTGAAGCCGGCGCCAGTATCTGGGACCGTGGTACTATGTATAATTAATTGAGGTGGGCATGGTGCTGTCGCGTGATGGCGGGAATGGCCATTTTTGGCGTAAGGGGGTGTGACTGTGACTTTTGTCAGGGCTCTGTAAATTTTAGGCCAATCCCAACTTCACTTCATCTCAAATGTGCTGCACTATCGTAGCAGGTGTGACATTAGAATCTAGTGCTTAGAGCTGAAACCGGGTTCTTGTTGCCGGTTAGGTTTTAGAGAGTGAGAGTATCCAGACTTGTGCTGGAGCAGGTAATCTGGAGATCCGGACCGCATGCTTGGGGAACATCACCTTTAATTTAAGGGTTGTTGGGAGATGGGTATTAGTACAGTTAGTGCTTGAGGAGCCATTCAGAGGACTGGAGTTTACGAACTTGCTTACCAATTAAATGAGTAACGAGCAGGGACTGAGTCTTTCTAAGGACTGAAAAACACGACTCGGAATACCCGAGGGATTCTAGATTCCACTGTTCAGTTTTCCTTGAAGTCCAGAGGGTATTGGCGATTGTATGGAATCGGCCGGCAGGAAGAATCATGCAGAGTATTGTTCTGCAGGAGCCATATCTGCACATTCCTTCAGGCTCAAGTTCTCTTGAAGGTGATTCCCGTAATGAAACTGATGTATCAAGGGATTAGAATAAGCCCGGATAGGTGTGTTCACGTGGTCAGATCCTCTCAAGACTCATCTTCTACCTTCAGTCTCGTAACTTGAGTACGACGGGTTGCCCATGGTTGTGTCTCGGTGTGGAGGGGTCTGGATTTTGGGATGGTTCAGACGCTCTCTGAGGTAATTATGATGAATTGGAGTAAGGGGAGAGTCGGGGGTCTCAATAGTAAAATTAATGAAGTTGTTATGGTTGGGAAGGTGTCCACCTGCTTTGTGGTGATCGAATGTTCCCATGGCCCCCCACTAACATTCTCGCTAGCTTCAAGCATGGATTAAGTATAAGGTTGTTGGCGGCAGGGTTGCTTGTACGTAGGGCGTCGAATTAATTACTTTAGTATATTTGAAGGTTAAAGGCTCTTTGGCATAACGGGAAACTATAGTTTTAAAACTATGGTTGGCAAATTGATTGGTGATAAGGCTTGGATATGCTAGTTTTAGGGCTTCCTATTGGTCAGTTTGTCAACGATGGTTTTAAAACCATGGTTTGCGGTCGCTCCAAATAGCCCCTAGTACGCCTACGCCTTGATTTAATACATTGTGAGTAAAGGCTTATATAATTGTTTCAGGTATCATAATTCATCCAGAAACTTATACCGCACCGCCTAGTAATATATTGTACAAGATATAGAAGAGAATAGTCTGCCAAGAGCCGGTACTCGGCGGCCCAAATAGCGCCCGAAAAAAAAAAACACTTCAGGGACCCTGCTCGAAGTATGCCATATTTCAAAAGTCTTGTAAGGACTCAACCTCATGAGCGAGTGAGCGGTAGTGACGATAGTTAGGCTTTCGTGATTGCGCCACCGCGCAACAAAACCACTAGATCTGGGCCTAAAAAGGTATTAGGGTTTCCAGAATTTATGGAAGTATCATAGTGGAGCGGCAGCTTTCTGTCAGGAATGCTTACCGGAAGGGCTATCACTGCATTTGGTGTTTCCATCCGATGCGTTTCAAAAAATGATGAAACTCCTCAGGGCCATTTGACAAATAATTTGCCAGAATCTCCGCAGAGTCGCTGCTACCGTCGCTGGTTTCAAGAGTGTCTGCTAAGGCTCTCATTTTTTTTTCTTCCTTTTTCAGACTCTGGATATAGTAGAGCCATGCGGCTTTGAAGATAATTTTCTTATAAGCTGTCTTGAACCTCTCCCCGAAATTTGCCCATTTCCTGGTGCTTTTGTCTACAAGATCAGGCATTACCACCGCGACTCACTCAGGATTTATGATGTAATTGCAACCCAGAGGGTGATGATAATGACGACGGTGATAGTGATGGCGATGATAGTGACGACGGCGATGACTGTGTTGGTGATAATGATGGAAGTGATGAAGAGTGTGTGGTGTGGGGAAGTTTAAATCCTCATACAAGCAGGTTGATTGAATAGGTATGCCTGTTAAAACCGAATGGGGTTTGTTTTGAATTGCCAGAGTGATGAGAACATGAGGGTAAGTGAGCGAATGGCACGTTTGATGATAGCCTTTCAAGTGCCGTCTTTTTGCCTGCAGCTTAGGGCTGCATATTTTGAAAGCTGAGGACTGTCCCAACCCTCTCAGAACCCTACAAAGGAGAATCACATAGAATTATATTAAGGCGTTATTCTCTTTACACCTGCTTTAGGACATTCCTATCAGATTAGACAAGAGTATTTTGAAAGAGAAGTCACGGTTTATCACTCGGGTCACTTGTTTTCCTCATGGTGACAATCAATCATCGTGGCACTTCCCCCCATGAATAGGTGGCGTATTATTAAGTAACAATGGCACTGCATGATGATTCTTCAAAACCCCCTTGCGCTTCTCCCTTGTGTCAAGTGGAGGCAGGCCGGTTTCCATCTTAGAGATTATCCAGGAGGCGAGCTGCAACTATTACTATCATTGGATTCATTCTTATGGTAGGGACATCATCTTTAAACCCCCAACCAAGAGAACAAATTTTATGCCTGTGCTCTCTCCAGTTATAAGGTTTTCTTTTTTTTTTTAAAAAAAAAACCAAGTTTTGTTTCTAGGTTCTAGTTGCCGGTCCTGGGTTGTGAGACGGGAGAGGCTTCGGGCGGAGGTTGAAGATAGAGCACAAAAAAGGTTCAACCTAAGGTAGCACTAGGCTTGAAATCAGGGGTCGGGTGAGTGAGTAGACATACTGTGCCTCGTCGGCTCTAATAGCATAGGAAACTCAGACTTTATCATGCGGGTCACCAGATTCCTTTAGCAGCCTTATCATGCACCAATAGGTCAGGTTAGGGACAGATTCAGATTGCCACGAGGTTCACAATCTTATGCTACGGTAAAGCTTCACAAATAAAGGTGATAAGGGTCCACCATTCCCCTCAACTTTGGCTAGCCGTCATATGGTCCTTCGGGTTACCTCTTTATTATTTATCAGGATTTGAATAGTAAAGAACCGTATGAATTCCATGAATGATTCCTACCTTTTTTTCATACATTAGATATAAATATAGGACATCCCGGCGAATCCGCCGGTCATCCTTCTGGAGGTTCCGATAGATAGAAGGATACAAAACTCATATGGTACGGTGCGGATTACTATGTAACTGTTCGTTTGGCACGACTATTTTGGTGGATGGATACCATGGTTTTGTGATAAGCTTCGAAACAGGCCAATCGTAGCTCTTAAAATTGATGATTATATAAGCTGACGGGGCTGACGGGGGACACAATTGGTCAGCCTAGAAGTTTAATGAAAAACCATGGTTTGCAACCACACGATTGTCATGTCAAACGGCCCACTAAACTTCGCCCGACACAAACTCAGTCGCCGATTTTAGGGCCCTAAACGCCAAGAACCCTTTTCAGCCCCATCCGGAACCAACCAACCAACTAATATAAAGAATTTCAACAATGAAACTCTACATAACTAGGACAACAAAATATAAATGCAAGTGTTCTGCCCATCTGGATATCGGAAATCTCTACCTTTATTAATCTGGGGAAAAAGCGAAAAACTATGGAGGCCGGACAACCAGCAGAAGATGCCTCTGCCAGAGCCGACCGGCTCGCGAAACCGAATTCCTGGCCCTCTCTATTCGGCTTCACTCGCAAACGGAATTTCGTGGCACTCATACCGGCATTATTCTTCTCCATTGCGAGTGGATTGGTCATTCCTCTAATGTCCTTACTAATGGGCCGAATATTCAGTTCTTTTGCAGAGTATAGTAGCGACAAGATTGACTCTAAGGAACTCCTAGTTTCTGTATCCAGGTATACAAATTACCTATTACTTCTCGGGGGAGCAGGGTGGTTTGTCAGTGGGTCGTTTTTCACGTTGTGGCTGGTCTTCGGCGAACTTCAAGCGAGAGTTGCCCGTGAAGAACTGTTTCAAGGAATCGTTGGTAAAGACATGGAATGGTTTGATACAGGCAAGGGAATCGCCGGGCTCGTTTCTGGGTGTCAGACGTACTTAACTCCTTCTTTTAATTGATGTTGTCCAATACTGAATTTGTGGCAGTCAAATCAATGAACTCAAAAGCGCAGTTTCTGAGCCGCTTGGATTCACGGTTCAGGCTTCTGTGATTGCATCCGTATCACTTGGAATAGCTTTATATCACTCCTGGTCACTGACACTGGTAATCCTTTCAGGTGCGCCAATAGCACTCATAATTCTCTCCTTCCTCTCAAATCGCATAGAGCCCTTTATAGAAACCCAAAACATACATATATCTTCCTCGGCAAACACAGTGAGCAATTCCTACACCGCCATTGAGACAGTTAAAGCGTTCAACGCTCAAGGCCTCGAGCTCCGGAACTTTTCCATCGCGCTAGAAAAGGCCGCGAGAGCGTATCGATCGCAAGCGAGTCTTGTTGCGTTGCAGATCGGATGCATTAGGTTTATCACCTTTGCAATGTTTGTGCAGGGGTTTTGGTATGGTGGGGTATTAGTTAGGAAAGGGGGCGCAGATGCTGGAGAAGTTATGACTACATTTTGGTCTTGTCTTATGGCGACCCAGAGCTTTGAGATGATATTGCCGCAGATGATGCTGTTGCAGAAAGGGATGGCTGCTGGGAGCTCCTTGAAGGGATTGGTGAATCAAGTCAGGGGGGGGGGAATGCCTTTACAGACGGGAAACATAATCCCAGATACACTTGATGGAGAGATAAGATTCACCAATGTAAGATTTCCAGCCAATTCTGGAGAAACAAGCTGATTCTACAAGGTTTCTTTTGCGTACCCATCACGGCCAAGCCAACTTGCCCTCAACAGCGTAGATTTCTCCATCCCAGCTCACGAGACAACGTTCATAATTGGACGGAGTGGCTCTGGAAAAAGCACAGTTGGCAGCCTTCTGCTCAGGCTGTACGAACCGCTATCTGGTGAAATAACCATTGATGGTCTTCCTTTGGATTCTCTCAATCAAGCATGGCTGAGGGGGAATATAACCGTTATTCAACAGCAGAACACCTTATTCAACGAGACAATATTCCGGAACATTGCCTTTGGAAGAAAGGATTATTGGAATGTCACTGAAGATCGGATCAGGGATGCATGCGGTATGGCAATTCTAGAGGATACGATATCAGAACTACCCCTTGGTTATTATACTCCTGCTGGGGTTGACGGGAAACAATTATCTGGTGGTCAGCGTCAGCGGGTGAGAGTCTATGATCCGTGGTTTTCGGGAACTCGCCCTGCTGATGTGTGTTGAATTGCTAGGTTGCGTTAGCTCGTGCAATATTGAGAGATACTGAGATATTAGTACTTGATGAAGCAACGAGCAATTTAGATTATAAAACTAGGTCATCTGTGATGGATTCAATCCATGAATGGAGAAAGGGCAAGACTACCATTATAATCACACACGACATAACACAGATCAAGCCAGAGAATTTTGTCTACATTCTTGAAGATGGTAGGCCGGTTCAATCGGGGGCTAGAAGTTCCCTAGAGGGGAAGCATGGGCCATTTCGATCATTTCTGAAAGCTTCGTATCGAGAATCTGACATTGAGAAGGAAGGTCTGGGTGATATACTCTTACCAGATACAGAATCCGGTGCATACGATAAGGGAGGCGAATCACCTCCAGAAGCCAATGGGGCCCAAGAGGACATTGTTGAGATAAGCAATGACATAGAACTCACGGAAATATCTACCTTCCGATCTACACGCGCACGCAAACGCTCTTCAAGCAGTGCGAGAAAAACCCTGCTCCCGAAGCCCGAAGCATCTCTCCAGGGGTCCCTATCACTTTTAGAATTGTCTAGGAGATTCCGAAAAGTAGGAAGAATGAAACCCTCGCTTTGCCAAATATTGGGTACCGTCTGGCCATCTTTAACGTTAGGCTACCGTGTTCTCCTGGTGTTCGGCTTCATTGCAGCGATGTTCCACGGGATCTCAACGCCACTTTTTGCATTTTCTCTGGCAAGATTACTCCTATCATTCTTTAACACCGCCAGCCCACCCTCTGAATCTCGTAACTGGTCATTGCTAGTTCTCGCCATAGCCACCCTCGATGGTATAAGCTCCTACGCGATGTACTACCTTCTTGAGTCCTGTGGGCAAACGTGGATCGACTACGTCCGCGTCCGGGCATTCTCCCGGATTCTCTGTCAACCACTCACTTGGTTTGACGGGCACAATGTATCTTCGATAACAGAGCACCTGGGAAAAGACGCGGAAGAAATGCGTAACCTTCTTGGGCGCTTCGCTGGGTATGCATTCGTAGCTGCAGTAATGATGGTTTTCGGAGTGACCTGCAGTTTTCTGCAGAGCTGGAAGTTGACACTTGTTGGATTGGCGATTGCTCCGGTGATGTATGGGGTGACGAGGGGGTTTTCGTGGGTTAGTGGTAAGTGGGAGGAGAGGGGCAATAATGCATCTAGTCGTATTGGGATTATATTTGAGGAAACAGTCTCAAATGTTAGGACTGTCAGGGCGTTGTCGTTAGAAGAGTATTTTAGAGGGAAGCTCCTGAGGGCTACAAGGGCTGCTATGGGGATTGGGATCCAGAGAGCTCTCTATGCCGGGATTGGCTTCGGGTTAACGGATTCAACCATATTATTTGCCACGGGTATGATTTGTCCCAGTTTGCAGACTTCACAGCTAACAAGCCTAGCGTTGATATTTTATTCCGGGGCACGCCTTATATCAAAGGGTCTCTACAATCTTGAGGAGACACTCACTGTATTCACTCTTCTGCTTTTCTGCCTGGCAAACGTTAATGCTATTATTGGATCAAGTGTGTCTTTTCCCCCTTCCTTACCGGTCTAGCTAACCTGCCAGTCCCACAAGTAAACAATAGCAAAGATACGGCAACTCGTGTCCTTTGCCTAACAACACTCCCTTTCGGCTCGTACGACGAACTAAATGGCACCAGGGCGCCAGACTTCACAGGTCCACTTTCCTTCCGAGATGTTACTTTCGCATACCCGAGTCGTCCCAACATCCCCGTCATTTACAAACTGGACCTGACCATGCGTCCCGGCGAATGCGTTGCTATAGTAGGGTATGCAATCCTCCTACGTTTTCACTCCTTCCTTTCAAATCTAACATCTCCAGGCACTCCGGTTCCGGTAAATCGACCCTATTGTCTCTCCTCCAACGGTTCTACCTCCCACTTCACGGCACAATATTCCTCTCAGGGGACCCTCTCTCCTCGCTAGACCTTTCAGCCCTCCGCTCTCACATATCCCTAGTCCCTCAATCTCCAATCCTCTTCGACACAACAATTCACGAAAACATCACTTACGGCGGAAGCTATTCCCGCAGCGAGGTAGAATCAGCGGCACGTAGTGCCGGAATTCATGAATTCATTGATGGTTTGTCAGATGGATACAACACCTACTTGACCAATGGTGGAAGCACACTTTCAGGTGGCCAAGCCCAGAGGATTGCGATTGCTCGGGCGCTTGTGAGGTCATGCTCGCTTCTGATATTCGATGAGTGCACGAGCAGCCTTGATGCCGAGAGTGCGAGAGTAGTGCATGGGAGTATTAGACGGTTGGTGGAGGGGGAAAGGAAGATGACTATTGTTATTATCACGCATAGTAAGGAGATGATGCGATGTGCTGATAGGATTGTGGTCATGAGCAAAGGGGGGATTGTTGAGGATGGGAGGTTTGAGGAGTTGTCTGAAAGAGGGGGGGAATTGAATAGGCTGCTGGCAAAGGGGGGATTTGGAAGTGAGGACAGGGGAGGTGGGTTGGATTCGGTGTGATATTTGCTTTGAGGGTGATTTACGTCGCACCCCAGTCTCATGTAATCGGAACAACTCATTCAATACAATACCCATCACTTTATGTCACTCGGAATTATTGACAGGGGGATCTTACCTGCCAGCCTAGATTGTGTACTACGGTTCAAAGGATTCACCGGGGTACCGTACCAACAAGTAGCGAGACTCCCCTCCCCGGTGTACAGTACAACGTATTTCCCCTGGTGGTTCAACACAAGCCACAGGCAAGAGACTATAGCCGTGAAGAGAAAGGTGAGGCAGTTAATTGGAGTTCTCGCCCCATGAGTCCCGGCTTTGTACCGATAGTCTCCGAACCACCCTCGGGGCCGGGTCGGAGCCGGTGCTTAACTTGAGGTGGAAATTCCTGCATAAGGTGCCCAACCGCAACTCGGCCGCGCCAGTACCGGCAACTCACCACACAAAACCACCCCGCGAACCACTCCCAGAGCCGGCACTAGCACCACAGTCCGCCTTTCCACTTTGCGGTTCATGAACTACGAATCTCCCGGTTGAACATCGCATAACCTGCGTAGTGAGACTCCCTAGTATCTCACGCAGTTCACCTGATATCCTGGCGGTCAGCACCAACAGGGCTAACATATTCCCCACGTAAATTATTGACCACTGCGTTCCCAGGGGATTAGACTAGTGAGAAGCACAGGTATGATTTCAATAGGCTGTCATGAGATAAACTCGACGACCACGTGATGGCGATACCCGTGAGGCTTGTCAAGAGTTCACCTCAAGTATGGATGGACCGTCATTCTCCCTTAATTCGTTTGGTTCCCCCAAAGGTTTTTTAGATGTTACTCGAGTGCACTCTCAGGGACCGTAGTCTATCATACTAGTATCACTACTGGAACCCATCGTTACCACCAGTGACCCTCGGATGGTTGCATCCCGGAACGACAGGGTTAGGGTTTACCGTACTCGAGTACATCCTTCTATCATAGCCCCTACGAGTAGTGCGCAACCCCTCGGCCGCCAAGTGCATCATTGCTGGCATGATATCTCAGTATCTCAGATGGCGAAAACCACCAATCCTGACTTGTGCGGTGCAGGCACAGTATGATACCGTACCATACCAGCACGATACGAAACATAAGAGGATCCGAAAACCCCGCAAACCGGTCGCCGTCAGGCCCGATATCCGGGAATCCAGGAGCTAATAGCACGGGCATACACTCGAGACCCTTCCCAAGACATCCCCATCTCTAGGCTGCGATAACCCTGCTACCGCCACCATCCATCGCACCATCAGGGGTGAGGCTAGCTCAAAAACATGCTCAACGCCCATATCCTGTACGGTGCGAGTAGATTGGTGTCCGAAAGAGCCTTCTTGCTTTAACGAGTAGCGGGACTAATCCCGTAGGATTCCTTTGTGCTTACCGGTAGAATAATCCGCTATCATTGGGTGGGAGTACCTGTAATATAAACCCCTCCTTCCTGCCGCCCCTCACCTCACCTGAGCTTACCTTCATTCTTCCCCCCGATACAACAAGACCTCATCGCTACCTCATCCCATCCCATCCCATCCCATCTCGCACCTCGACACGGTACGACGCAACCAGATAGAGAAAATCGAAAAAGAAAATAAACAAAGAAAAAATCAAAATGCCGGAATGCCAGTTTTCCGTCACAATGACTTGCGGCGGATGTTCCGGTGCTGTGGATCGGTCGTTGAAAAAACTTGAGGGTACCCTACCTTAACTACTTTCCCGTTCCCCTGCCTCCCCTTCTCTCTCCGGGTGGTGATGGTGGCGGCGGTGATGCTAACGGCGAATTAACAATAGGCGTGGAAGACCTGAAGATCGACCTCGGTGCCCAAACCGTCAAGGTTACCACCAACGATTCTCTAAAATACGAGGATGTTCTGGAGCAAATCAAGAAGACTGGCAAAAAGGTCACTGAAGGGTTTGTAGAGGTTGGTGGGGTTTTGCAGAAGAAGGAGGTTTAGATCAGGAGCGTGACGGTAGTTCCGTGCGGTGGGATTCTTTTTGCTAGTTTGATGGCCGTGAATGGCTATCGATTGTTTGGTGCTCTGTATCGTTCCTGTTTTCCTTTACGATTGCCGGATTCGAAGGGCCACGATACTGTGGTTTTCTCTAGTTGAAGCACGGAAACATTCCATCTACAGTATCAATCTTTGCTATTATCCTTACAGCCATGCTTGAAGTAAACTACCCCTAACGTTATTTATTTTATGGCTCGTTGCGCCGCCAACAGTCGGCCTTCTTTGAAATCCACTCTCACTGTCCCACCTTAAATGATTACTCTTCCCTAGCGTGCGGCTTATGTGCCTTGGGGACCTCGGGATGAGGTCTTAAGTCCTGCATTGCATGTATAAATATCGTCCGGGACTTTATCGCTGTACCGTACTCGAGTACCTGTACCTACCCGTGGGGAGCTGACTCAGGGCGTGGCTGAGAAGGTAGGGACTATCCATAGCCAGGGATAAGCGGTTGGTATGGTTTACCGGTGGTTGTTAGGACACAGAGGGGCGAGGGCGTTGTGGAAGGTTTGGAGACATTTGTCCCGGCTCGAGTCTCCCTGAACGGGTCGGGCATCTGATGGCACTACCGGCACCGATAGTGATTGGGCGTTTGCGGTGTTTATCGCTACCAGCCAACCAACTATTCCAATAGCTCCGCGGGTTTTCGAGTGGATTAACTTGACCAGCTGTTTATCCACGAGTACCCGGTTACACGATCACAGTTATCAGTATCCTGCCGTCAGCTCCCAGGAATCCCACCAGCCAAACATGTTCAATAACTCGCCGGCTAGGTACAAGATTCCAGCCTTCTAAAAATAGGGAATGTCTCGAGCCCCCAATGATAATACCCACTCTTTTCATGCGAGTGTCGCTTGTAACATAACGCGTTGGAAACTTTGGCATGGCCGACTAGGGGTCCGAGATCCCCAGTGGGACCCCTTGCAACCCATCGCAACTTTCGAACCACCAAGTCCACAATGCAGGGGACTGGGCCCTACAAACCAACGAATACCGAAGGTGGTCTGGCGGCACGAAGATAGAATCTGGGATGCAGTATTGCTTTTCTAGGGGGATCCGGTGGTTGACAAGGCCTGCATCAGGTGAGTGGGAAGGTCTCCGACAGAAGCGGGGCATTCTAACAAGTGGTGATAGTTCCCTCGTGATGGGCAGCTCGCGTGATCAAGCCGGGGAACAAGACGCCTCTGTTGCGTGTTTCTACTTTGAACTCGCAGGGCAACGGGGGCATTCCACGATAGTACGCTGGGCGCCTCGTTGAAAAGCTTGTTGACGGATTCCAAGAGATTACAAAGGAAATTGACCCTGCTTAACGGCAAGAATAATGGGTCCACTATTAAATTTTGGAAATGCGACTAGATTTTATTAATTCTAGCAGCTAGACAAAGAAGGCCAAAGGCCATTTCTTTGGGCTGCCGGGATGAGGCATGGGGGATGAAAGGGTGGTGATGTTGCTACGGTAATATGATGTCAACCTCAATAGGCCAGCCAACAATGGTCAAGCACCTCTTTCCTGGGCTGTCCTTATGGGGCGTGAGGGGGCGGTGAAGCTACTAATACTTGTAGTATCGCAAGATGTTGAGATACACGTGTAATAACAACGACTAGGCACACGTTCACGGCACAAGGGAACGGGTATCCCGATATATGGGAATGATCGAGTTACTCTCAAGTCGGGAAAATATCCGCCCCGGTAATCCGGACAATCGCCGCTGAGCACTACTCACGTGGCGGCTTAAGGGAACAAGTATCACAAATTAGAATTAATAGGGGCGCGCAATGCTAGAAGCCTCAACTCGGTTTAGGGCCAGGAAGTACGCCTTCCGAGGGCAAATGCTGCCTTCATAACAGTATCACTGATCGCCCTAACTACCGGTGTCCCCTCCCCCTCCTCCAATCCGTGCTCGACCCTCTGGGCTATCATATATATGACGCTCTCCCGCGGGCATCACTAGTATTGGTGCTGGAGAGATAGGGCAGATAGGAGAATTGGGGGCATATAGGCAGGATCTGCTATAATGCAGATTTTATCTGCTTTCTACCCCCATTCTTCCCCCTTTTTTACTCCTCTCTTGCTTCTTTCATTTTAAGGAGTACATTAGATGATTTCTCCGTTTTCTTTCCAGTATTCCCCCTCTATCAATTTTTCTCTGCTTCTTTACTTATTACAGATAGAAGAGACTTGAATTCGGTGACACTATAGCTTGAACTTAGCACACAAGAATGGATCTTCTGTTCTTTTTTCTCGTTCCTTTCCTCCTCCCTTTCTTACTCCAGTCTTTCCAACGGAGGAGAGCCCGGCCTCAACAAATGACCTACTCCCCAGGAGCCCAAGCCCACAAGCCGACCAGCCTAACGCCAGGTCGAAGTGCACCAGAGGTACAGCTTCAGGCACATATACAAGTACTATATATAGTATAGTCTCCATCATCAACCAATATCAGACAAAAATCAACATAGTTTACCAACACCCCTTACCCTCCCACTACTCTCGCTGACACGGCGATAGGACTCCGCGCTAAATTGCCTCAATGCCTCGGTTCCATTCCCACAAAAGTGTACCGCAGGGGGTGAATCCGCCCCAGCAACTGGGCCCCGAATATCAGCGTAGTCTGTATCGCTATACGCCCTGAAAAAGGTGCTACGGTATACTCGAGTACAGTACAAACACCGCATTCCAACCACCACTACAAACCGAAACCTCGCTCCCGGAATTCGGGGAACAATCCACCGGTATCGGAGGTACGGCAGCTCAATTCTTAAATCATCATAACCTGGTGAGAGCCGCCAGTTGCCGTACGTAATTTACAGCAGATTGCACTCGCCGACCAAAGTACGATATGATACCCGCCCAAGACCGAAATTTCCCTACGCGTACCCACCGGCTCAGGGGGGTTTACACCCTTACACAGACATCCTATGATATCATAGATCATTCAAGATACCTCGCCATGACTGGATCGCAAAAAAAAAAAAAAAGACATACCCTCCTTGTCCCACAAATACTCCGAAATATGTTTACGAGCGGGTGATATTCCGTGACCACCATTCTAAGGAAACCTATTAAACCTCACTCCCCGTTCGCCGGCACCTGTCAATTTCGGGATTTCTACCATAGACTAGAGTGCAAGAATGCTTGACAGACGCAAGTACCAATAAAGATCGAAGCCAGCCGGTGGTCGCGCCATCTCATCCCAAGCATTCTTGAGCCGAAATCTTCCAGGTATGCTATGAGCGGGATGTAACAAGTGTGAGGCAATCGGTGTGTGTGAGTGGGGGGTTCTATCCCCAGACCCCGTCATCTTATATCAATATATTGTGGAAATCTATCTATGGCAGGCAATGCATTCCAGTTCTTATCCATTACAAAACTGTGCGGAGAAACCCCGCGTGTTCGCCGTCCTTGCCCCGCACTATGCGTCAGGTCAGGTGCGGGGTGCCGAACGAGATCTGGTGATGCACGCAATAGACCTACCGGTAGAGATGTACCACAGCTCAAGATTTGCCTAAACCGGGAGACCTCTTGCGCTCAAAAGGTCTGGGGCTTTGGATTGCATAACACAGAATACCCGGCCCCCTCCACGAGGAAAATCAAAGTCCATTCAGCGACTTTTGTAGCTGGCCATCTATATATAATACACAATCCTATCATAATCTAACCCATGCAAGGGATAACGAATAATACCCACTAGAAAACGCTAGATGGAATTAAAACTCCATGATACTACCCACAAAAAGGAGGGGAAGAAAGAAAGAAGGCTAAAAAGCCATAATACCACAACCCTCTCCCCGGTACCAAGCCACTTACTACACAACTAACCACCCCCGTTCCACACTCTCTCCTTCTCCCTCTCCACCCACCTTCCAAAATCCTTCCTAAACCCACCACTCCTCCCCTTCACCACCTCTTCAAACGCCACCCCCCTCCCAACCCTACGCTCTGCCCCAACGCAACTAAGGTCCAATAACGGAATCATCGAAGGCCTCCCATGCGCGCACTGAAACGGAAACTTACATTCCGCCAGTTTGCCAATCAGCACGCGACACTCGCCGAGCTCCAGAGGGTCGTTGAACATGATTGCACTGCGGCAGGCGCGGGAGTTGACCATATCTGCCAGCGCGGCTGGGCAACGTGAAAGCAGCGGCGCATGAGGGTCTAAAGACGAGGCGGTCGGGGTCGAGCTAGGGAGTGCCATGGTGGAGGTATCCTCGAGAACGGGGATATGTCGGCGGAGGATGTCTATGGCGAGTGATGGTTGGGAGGCGCAGCGGTCGGAGACCATTTCCGGGAGGGAGGTTATTGTTAGCGTGTTTTGCTTCGGATCCTCTTTCTCCTCTCTCCCGCCGATTGTGATGGTGTAGTGTATCTTCCATTCGGAGAATGAAGCGCGGTGGCGGGTGAATAACTCTGTTTCTCTGTGCGAGATTTTGTACGTTAGGTTCCCGCCCAGTGTCCCTGTTTGGTCTCCCCGTGGCTTCCCTTCTGGGGAACATAGCTCCGTAAACAAGGCTTCCACGCGAACGCGCTCGTCCGCGGCGTGCTGGTCTACTATCACCAAGAGGCCGGACGGATCTGGGGATGAGGAAGTAGTTATTCCGGCCATTTTTATCAAGACGTACTTCTTGTCTACCTGTGAGATGACTTCCGCATTTCGGAGACCCGTTTTGGTTAGTTTTCCTAACGTCGAAGCAGTCTCAAATAACGGCGAGTTGGTCGCTGGGTGGGCACATCCAGGCACAAATTCGGAGGTGTGAAGTGTGATCCGGGGTATTGGAGCATCTGTTGGTTTGAAGACCGGATTTTCCCAGGCCTGGAAATATATGATTAGTTGTGTTTATGGTTGTGAATATACAAGTAGGCAGATGTTACCCTGAGAAGATTTTCTATAAACGGCCCTGGTGGGTTCTTGGGCTCCGGTAGCGGTTCTGTGCGCGCCCTCTTACTGCTATTGCCGTCGTCGCCGAGTCTCTGCCCCAGGAAGGAATCCCCAGTTGAAGGCCTCTTCATCCCTACTCTAACCAGAGACATACCGGGCGCAGGGCCCTTGGCCGTCACCGTATTTCCAGTTCGGAAGTTGACTGTGTGCGTCTTCTGCGATACCGGGTCTCTCCACTCGAAAAACTCATCGGAGGGTGCCCCGGGGCCATCTGTCGAGCCCCCTCTCCTCCCCTTCCCCGGTGTGGGGTGGGATCCAGTGGGTGGGTGTGGGGGTGAGAATGTAGACGCTTTTGAAAATCCCGAGCCCTGTCTGCCCCCTTCCTCCCTTGGATCGACTCGGGCGGACTTGACTCTGCTCCAGCTTGCCAGTATTCCGAGGTCCCCACTTTTTGAGGATCCCCCGGTATCTCTAGTTCGAGACGATGCTGCATTGGTACTCCTGCGGAGGGTACCTAGTGGTGTTCTTTGCCGGGGCCCGCCTAGCAGATCTAACGCTGATTGTGGAGGTGCACGAATGGTGGTCCCTTCGCCTCTTTGGGGTTTCGCAGTCGTAGCTGGGACAGGACGGAAATAGTGAGTTTTTAGGAATTCATGGATGAGCTTTTGCAGGAGGCCGATTGCAGCGCTAAGGTTCTGTTTATTTTTTTAGTAGGAGCCAATACACAGACCCAGAGGTGCGACTAACATCACCTTCCAGCCCAGCTTTTCCCTCTGTCCCACCTTCACCACCTATGACATCCATTTCTCGCCGCTGACATTCAAGACGCAGCACGAACATGGCCCACCTATCGGCACCTTTCTTCGGATTTCCCTTTGGCCTCTTTGCTCCATCGTCCTCCTCTGTCACACCGAAAGAGGAAGAAGCAAACAGCCGGTTGATCTCCTCATGTAGCAAGGTCGTCCCCATAGGTACAGGATACCCATTGATATCTTCGGTGCTCCATATCAGTCAATGTCCAAGCTAAATATGAAGACCAACCTACAGAGGTATTGAAACCCCTTGCTCGCACTGCCCCGCGTGCAAATCCGGCCCTCTATTCCGATCCCACCCATCCTTGCTACCACCTTCTCCCACCCATCTATATCGATAGCGTATACCTGCTTCAATACCTTGACCTCCCATCCGGACCCCACAACAGCCCTAACCCTAACCTTCACGTCTCCGTTCTCATCCTTGACAACAACACCCACGCCACCACGGCTCAGGAGCACCATCACGATCCCCCGCTTCATGTCATCCCACTCCTTGTCCACATCCGCGCCCTCTCTGACCTTCACTCGCACCGGCATGTCCCCCCACAATCCCTCAACCCTAACCACTGTACCCGACCTCCCGAGTCCCAGGTGCTCCGGCGCTGCCCCAGTAAACACCTCACGACCATACGACACCCTCCGCATAACCGTCCGTCTACTCGTCTCCACTCGCGAAGTAATCGTAGTTAAGGAGTGCCCACAAATAGCCGATAAAGCCTGTCCGCGGAAGCCAAAGTCTCCGGTGGACGGGTGCTTGGAGGTAGCTACCCGATGACGACGACGGAGGAAACGTCAGCCACGATTTGAGGGATGCAGAATTGTAAAGGTAGAAAGATTAGATAGCCACCATATTCCTGTCCCACAAGGAGCATATCCTCCGGAGCTATCCCATGGCCGTCATCCTCGAGCACACAGCTGTTCCTACCCAGATTCACGGTAATCGCCAGGTTGCGAGCTCCGGCGTCGATTGCGTTCTGGAGCAGCTCTGATATCACGTCGGATATGTTCGCTATCGTTAAGGTACTGCGCATTCGTGCGCTAACAGACTCAGGCAGGAGCCTGATGGGCGGGGCTGTGATTGGCATCCTTGGCGAGTGTGCCGGGCTTGTAGAGGGAACCGTGGCACAAGACAGTAAGAGGCCTGTATGGTAATGTGATTCAGCAGAGGAAATATTGCGGAAGGTCAACAGAAGCTGTTTTTAGCCACATCGCGTCAGAGCGCGTGTAACTTATTAGAATTCGGCGCTCGAGTCCCGCTCTTTGATACCGGTATTGCATAACCCACTAACCCGTGATTGTGGGCTATGCGAGGGGATGACGGAAAAAAAAAATCGCCACTGGGCTTGGGTTGCCGGCATCATGATAGATTAATAAGTTGTGACAATTCCAGGCTGACACACTGCAGGTACAGTACAAGTACCGTTCGATACGATAACGCACACAATGGTACTGTACAGTACAGCCACACAGTAAGATAGGGTACCACAATTTCATGCATTTACGCAGGATATCATAACTCCTCACTCGCTTCACAATCACCGATAGCTCTAAGAACTAATACAGCATTTGACCAGAGGGAACGGTGGTATGAATAACATTTGTGAGCGGAAAACACAGCAAACAGTCTACGGAAGGAGTCATCAAACATCCGATCAAGCAGAGCGGCAGCACCAAAAGAGGGGGGAAAGGAATAAGCAAAACAATCACAAGAGAAATGTGAAAAAATGTGGGGAAAAAAAAAATAGATACTGAGAAGTAGAGCAAGAGTAAGAAGTAAACATCAGGCCCATGCAATCTTCCGTTGTCACGGTTAATCCCTATCCCGAAAGGAAGATGGAACAAGAGAAAGATGAGAAAAAAGGATGAACCAGCGATTGACCGAAACCCAAGTTCGAAGCGATTGACTCCGGGACCAACCCAACCTTTACCGTAAACGAGAAAGCAAATGAGGAGAAGGAAAAAGAAACAAGAGAAAAAAAAATTCAGAGGTATCCAAAAAGAAATCCAAACTCCGTCAATATGAATCTGTGGATTCAGCATTATCACCTCCCGTGATGATATTCCCCACCAGTGTCGCTATCACCTCCCGTGATGATATTCCCCACCAGTGTCGCTAGCCCATTCTTCGTTCCCACTCCAATCCCCACGGCTCCCGTCATAACTGCTTCTATGACTAGCCAGGGCCGACCCACCACCAGCACTTGCTTCATCCCATTCTCCACCGCTAGCATCGAAGCTGCTGCGATTACTGCCCTCGCCTTCTGCGATGTCATCTTGTTCTCCTGACGCCATGTTGCCCCACTCCATATTCGCTAAGGCAGGGTATTGTTCTAAAAGCGCGCTGGGGAATACCATTCGATTGCCCGGATCCATAGAACTGGAGCCCACAACACCCTGCTGGTCGCTAGGATTGGACAAGTGGCCAAGAGTAGGGTCAAGCATTTGCCCTTGCGCAAGCATTTGATTGCGTTGCCTTTCAGCCGTCTCCTCATCGAGTAGCGGACGTATGCATACCCTTCCGGCTTCGCTCCGGAAATGACGACCCAGTGCATCGGCTCTCGCAAACCTCCGACCGCAGCCCCAGGCTCCTCCCGGTTTTAGGTTACCCCGACAGACGAACTTCTTCTCGCCAGAGTGGAGCCCTTCATGGCGTTTACGGTCATGCTGACGGGCAAACGCCTTACCGCATATTGTGCACACGAAAGGCCGTTCGTCAGTATGGGTGCGAAGATGTGAACGGAGATTGTAGGCGCGGGTGAAGCGTTTGGGACACAGTGTGCATTGGAAAGTTGCTGGGTGTTTTTGAACCCTCTTCTCGCTAGCTGCATTTCCCGGCCTTCCAGGACATGCCAGACCAAGGAAGTAATCCCTGTTTGGAAGTGAATTGGTTGAAGATCTACGCGAAATTTTTCCAGTACCAGAAGTATTGCTAGATGCTCCGGGACTGCCAACGGGTGCTATTATGACATCCACAGGACTCAAAGAGTTTCTCCTTGAGCGATTCCCAACAGGGCTTTGTGAACCTGATGGAATAGCCATGGGCCGGACGATTGGGCTACCACCGGATGACGAGCCGGAGAATGGGTCCGATTTAGATCGTTTACGCTGAGGACCTATGGAACAATTAATATTCAACCACCGGACCTTGCCAAGGGAACTAAAACTCACTCTTTGGAGGCGGGCTTAGGGCACTGTCATCATGAGTAAATCCCGGTTTACCAGGGAATGTGGGTTGTCTTTGCGGTGGAGCAAATATAACGTTAATCTGAGGGAAAGGTCCCTCATCACCCGGGCCAGCTCCATCAACTCCCAGGTCAGCGCCGTGTCCGGCGGGAGGGTGTGATGGCTGCATAAGCCCCATACCCTGATCCTGCGGTATGGGAGGAACGTAGGGAAGGTATTGATTCTCCTGGGGCAGCATGTAAGGGCTGTTGGCACCGCTGTTCAATTGACCAGGAGCTGGGCTAATTCTTGGTGATACGTGAGGCGATACGTCGCGCTCGTTGAGACTGAACTGATCTAGCCCAAAGGAATCTCCACCAGTATTAAAGTCCTGGTTAGAGTTCAGGAAATCTTGCATAGGCCCCTGCTGGGGAAGGTTGTTTCCTTGAAGTAAGGGCGACGAGTGTTCGGGGAATTCTGAGTTCTGAAGATATGGACTAGCAGCAGCAGATGAGATGTCCGAGTATTCACTAGGTGCCTTGCGGTGGTTGTTCCAAGTGTTCTCCTGATGCGCAAATACCGAACCCCACTCCAAGCCGGAGGAGGGATTAGTTGAGCCCGAGGGGAGGAAAGTGGTTGACTCGGGCTGGGATGATTGTTGCTGATTAGAATGAAGTAGCGGTGGGGTGTTATGCTGTGAGGAATGCGCAGAGTGCGTAGAGCTCATCAAATCCGCAGGATTGATACTCCCACCTGGTAACCCCTCTTTATCTTCGTATTCGTAGAGGGCTGGATCGGTTGGGTTGGAGTACAGCGGAAAGTCGGAATAGTCCTGACGACTGCTATTGTGATGCTGCGGTGGCGGAAGGGTAGAGGCCTGAAGATGGGGTGAGGTACTTCGTCTGATACCCTCTAGCGGCTGTTGACCCAGCCCGTACTCAGGATATCTTTGAAAACCGGTGTAGTCTTGATCTGCTGCAGTCGGACCGTACAGCGAATCTTCGTCTGTGGAGGGTGCGAAGTGCTGGGGATTTAAGCCATCCGTCTGTCCATCCTGGCCACGATTTGTAGAAGACATTGCGATTTACTTTTTCCTTAAAGTGCAAGGTAGAAGGAGAGGATTGTAGGGATCAGAGTGAGGCTTTGGCCGGAGGTAGTGAACTTTGGTGAGCGTATGAGGCTAAGCAAAGAAGCAGGCACCAATTAAAGAACCCCTCACTCGAGACCAGTATCTGCAATGCTTGGGATTCGTGAGAAAGTCCGGCCTCTCAAAGCTAGGCTTGCCTATCGAGGTGGGTGAGCACAGTACCGATGTGTATATTGGCTATGAAGGAGGCTGGTGCTTTAGGCCCGGTTCCGTTGCTTCTCGAAGACCGTTCAAGGTATCCTAGTCCACCACCGAAACGGACGCCAGTCGGTTCGAGTGACGATACGGTTTGTGCCTTGCAAGGTCAATACCCGGTGGGCTATAGAGATGGGGCGGGGGTTATGGTGTGAGGCGAGGGAAGGAAGTGACGAGGTGGGGAATGCTACCTTTTTGTCTCGCGCAATGAGTTCACTAGAGGTGATCCGCTGAGAAGGTTCTATAGAACACTTGCAGCTCGGGTATGTGTGGGAGAATATAGCTACTGTGGGTCGGGGTCGTTCGAGTGTGTACTTATTCGGTGCGCTGGAACAACAGGAACTGGAAGAGCACAGCCCTCTTGGTTGGACGAAAGCACAACCCCCGCAGGCGCGAAAGTCAGTTTCGGGGAGGTGGTGCTCAAAGGATCCAAGAAGCAACCCAAAAAAAACAATCCACTCAATAATTATTTTTTTTCGATAGTATTGGGGGAAAAAAAAAAAAAATCCAGGCACAGTGGCAGCGGATGGGATAATATTGAATGGCGGCGTTCCCTCCAACCTGCAGTATTCCGAGAGGCACTGAGCGGGGAGGTTGTTGATCAAATGGTGAGGGGGAGGGGTGAGGGGGTGTGATCCAGAAGCGGCAAAGCACCGTTACTGAGCGAGCGCGATGATTGAGTCTCTCAAGCTCCAGTTCCGGTAGCACAGTGGAGCCAGTGACTGCGGAAGTTGATAGCGGTGATGGATAAAAGGAGGTGAGGAATGAGAGTTTCTGCGGGATAGGGTACGGTGCTCGTGTAATCGTTCTCAGGGAAAGGGAATGCTGCACCTCGCTACTACCGGCAGGGGTCCTCGGTATCGTACCGTAGGAGAACGGAGATGAAGGGTGTATTCAAGATGGATGATAACAGAGAAAGGGCTCAGTTAATAAGAGAGCTCGTTAATAGAATGGGGAGCACGAATTACTAGAGGAGAGAGGGTGATGGGGGGAGGTGCGAGTCGGCCGCGAAGCTTCGTCTGGTAAGAGACAATGATGAACGATTATGATGGTGATGGTGGGGTGTTTATCACGAGCCAGCAGCAAGGAGCGAAGGCGGAAAGGTAATTTACCATCAACAAGGACGACTGTGGAAAATTTTCTTGTGCTCTCACAGAAAATTTGCTGCACCTGAGGCGCCCAGGATGCACAGTAGAACACGGATACAGCATACGATACTACCGCACCAATTCACTTCACCTCACATCGCTGATCTCACTTTCATTTTCGAGTGTGGGGATGACATTCCGCTCTCTCTCTCAACATCTTGTCCCAGATCCTCGCATGGCCTGCAGCCTTTCCTACTCTCGCCGTTTCTTCCACCACTGACCTCTTCCACCCACAGCATGGTTCCCTGAAAGAAAGTGGGGTGGGTGGGCTGGCGCTCATCGGGGTTTCCTGAACGCCCTCCCTCTTCCTTCTATTCTTATCACCAGCTCACAACCGCTACTTGTAGAGTACTGTAACCCCCCACTATGAATACCTCACCCGCGAGGAGTTGTATGATAATCTAGTGATAAAAATCAATCACCTTCCACCCCTTCTTTGCACAATTTCTACTGGGCCCCTGTCGCACCGCTGCGGGATATGCTATTCATCCACGCTGTCTTGTACTCGAGTACAGTAGAGTGACGAGACCCGAACGAGTATAGAGAGAAAGGGAGAAGCGGAGAAGGGGAGGGACGAGAAGTCACACCCCAGCGCCGGTATTGCTCGAGGGTATCATACAGCGGCTTCCCCGGGCCCTCGCAAATACTACAAATTATACGCCTCGCTTTCAAGACGAGTATCGTACTCGAGCATTGGAACTTGAGATCCTACGGTGCCCGTATTACCGGCGGGCTACAGTGTTTGGATTGAGGTCCACGAGAGGTTAAGCCAGCCAGCCCCATCCAAGAACACCCCTACGATGGCTGGCTTCCCTTTTTTCTTTTCCGTTCGCTAGGCGTCCCCTCAAGGCGTTCCCCTCTTTCAGCCCAACACAACCCGGCAAGATGGGACGTGCTGAAACGAAAAAGGAGCAGCAAATTGTGTGACAAGCACCCACACCAGAGACTTGTTCTTGCGCGCAACCGCGCACACAAATAGATCTTCTGTGGTGGGCAGCTCTGTGTACTTTGTTCTAGAAAAGTTCGCCGTTTGTTCCTGAGGCTGTGCAATAACTTGCCGGCACTTTGAACACACGGGCTCTTATATCGCCCGTCGGCACCGGTACTGAATCACTGGGAGGAGTGGGGATTCAGCGCAGCGAGCAAATGGGGGCTTGTACTCGAGTACAGGTGCCCTACTTTACAGCGCGGGTGCCTGGATCCCTTAATTAAGCTTCATAAGATCCGTCCATTTTCTTTGATTGGGAAGGTGCGATCCACGCTCTTATTTACTTGTACTTGTACCAGTACTTGCGCTGGTGCCAGCGACCTCAATCCTCCGTAGCGCTACGATAAGCTTTACCCTCCTTTATCAGTTCAATTTTCCCTCATAACCCCATGATACGGGCACCGACCACAGTATCATACAGGACTCGGTTCCCCGAAACTGCCCTCAGGGTCCTTTAACGCCGGGGGCGTACCGTATTCAAAGTCCATGGTCAACTTCAGCCTCTCTTCCTGATGGAATTTTGGCCGGTATCCGGTAACTTAGGGCCTTAGTCCAGGGGAGGATGCGAACTGTAACTAAATATAGCACGTAGTGCAGTTCGGCTACCGTATTGGCTGAGACACAATATCTCTTATGCGACTCTCGCCGCAGCGGGGGCAGCCCTATGGAGCCGCCGCTTCTTCTCTGCCGTGAGCCCGGTATTTGATAAACTGCATTACCGGTACCCTAGTGGACTGAAGGGGGGGAAGGGGCAAGCAAGGACTGGGAAAAGAATTGCTAAGTACCGGGGGCTATCCTCTGGGCACTCATCGCATCCTGCTCTAATATGATTATTATGCGTCAGGTCCCCCCGAGAGCACCGCGCAGTATCATACGGCACCAGTTTTAGGGTAGCCGTTAGACCTCCCGAGCACAAGTACACATGTACGTACAGTACGAATAGAGTATCATACCGGTACAGGCACTCGAGTGCACGGTATCATGGTATTAGTGCAGTAGGCCACCTGCAGAGGGCCGAGGAACAGTAGTCATATTCCGAGTAGGAATGTTGCATGGTATGAGCCTTTTTTTTTTTTCTTTTTCGGATCCTTAGGTTTGTGAGGCCCAACGCATGCACTCAAATTCGCCTTTGGGTTTCCACATTAGGCTTGCCCGTGCCCAAGAAGAATCCAACGCGATACTGTACCAGTTGGCGGGGTGCGTCGAGCAAAAGTAGTACCAAAACTCCAGCCAAGCCACTTTGGCTACCAAGAATACATAATCCACACGCAGAATGAGTTATTAATATGGATTGACTAAGACCTTTGCTTGAGAAGTCGGGCGGTGAAGCCACCGAAAATGTTGACCTACCTTGTAGGATTACCTATTGGTAGCGAGCTGTTGAAGGAGGAGAAAATGAATATAACACGTTCGGAAACTCTCACTAGGCGTATCCCGTCAAGCCAGCTGTGCTTCAGAGGCTATACAGCATGAAATACGCAGCGATTATCACCCCTAGTCACTACGGTAGCTCATTCCACGGGGGAGGATGGGAAGAACTGGGTTACTTTACATGGTAAAAGGCTCTCCAGAGGCTCGGATCATCGAGAGCCGCCTTCCAATCCCCCGGAGCGGTAAACTACACCTTAGCGGACTGGCTACCGTACTTGCACCCTGCTTGTGAGTTAAACCTAAAATATAAGAGGGGAGAGAACCAAGACTTATCGCAGTGGCGGAGTTGACTCAACAGCCCCACCCTATCAATCCTCCCTTCACACCCGTTGACGCAATTTCCTCATCTGGCTTTAAGTTACATTCCGAGCGATTTTGAATCTTACACCCAGTACCATATGGAGAAGCCCAATGCCGAAGGGAAATTACAAAAGGTGGAGGCATCGGCCTAAGCTGCGACATCCTTCTTTGGAGCCGTTGATTAGCACTGCGTCTCCGTTCAGCGGATTCGTTGCTGACAGCAGAAATCAGTGTTTCGGAGAGGAGGTAATATTTGTCTCGAGAGTAATGGCGCTGCATAACATTGTAATAATAACGAGTAGCTATCATCCCCGCCCGGAGAATGTGATTAATTCTCTCTTTGTCCGGGCGGATTTTGCAGAGGTTTGGAAGATGTGGTCGGAGCTTACGATATTCTGCGCTCTCCAGCTGGTTGATCACAGCCCAACAGCCGCCTAGCGCCTCCGTTATGCCCGTTTCCCCTCACTATTTCACCTCCGCTCGACAAATAGGCGGATGGAGTATCGATCATATTGGCTCAGGGGGGCTGTAAAGGGCATTTGTGGAGACGAGTTTACATAGGCTCGGCCAGTGAACCCGAATTTTAGAGTCGGCTTGTGTTGGTAACCCCCGGATCCCGCACCAGCGTGTGATCCAATTTAAGTAACGAGGGGCTAAGTGCGGGCCGTCCGTTAAACGGACCAAGCTCTTTGAGATGCGGTTTTGTGGCACCCTACCGTACTCGTACTCGAGTACTTGATGCGCGAGTGGTGGAAGATTGGTCCGGGGAGTTGCACACCGGGTCGGTGATTCTGGTCGGTACTCGAGTAGGTTGGTATCTCCATGCACCGGGCTCCACTGGAGTGAACACTTATCTGGGTCAGACCACGATATTCGTAGGATCCGGCCCGATAAGCTAGAGCCCTGGCTCTGCCGAAGGCTGCGCGGCTCCCAACCTTAGATCTCCCATCGCGAGCTCAAGGATCTGCCCTCCCACCTTCCCTAAAGACGATCCAGGTTAGGATTACACATGGTGGTCGACTGCCACAGGCGCTGTGCGAGTTCACAAACCGCAGATGCAAGGGTAGAAAAGCGTTGAGCGGGGCAGTCAGGGACAAAGTTGACTGGTCAGTCTCAAATACCCGTTCCATAACTTCTTGCCAGACCTCGTGCTAGCACACTTAATCCCGGACCAGAGGTTAGACCCTAGCTACTAGATCCACCCCCACCCAAAACTACCGTAGGATCTCCGGCTTCTTCTTTCATACGGTAGAAACACCAACAGTCGCGCATAGCCCTGAGACCTACATCGACGCAGCAATTGACTGCAGGAATAATTTTGATCTCAAGAAAAAACAAGAAGATTAAACGTGGAGCTTTAGGACACAAGTACTCGAGTATGATAGTTAACGAAAAATGGTCCGTTCTAGCTTCGCGAGGCTCCCGCAATGCAGGCACAGCACCCCCACAGAAAATAGGCACCACAAACGGATTTCGTCCAATCAGACCGACGCACCGACCGACAAGTACTGTACCGTTGTTGGGCTAGAAGACCGGGCAGAGGTACGGTATTCGCGCATCAGCACAACCACCAGCGAACAGCAGTTCCCCACGCATCACAATTCTCCTCACAAGATTTTCTGCAAGGAAATTTGCAGACACGGTTCGGTACGGCGCTTCCCTGGGCACCGGGTTGCAGAAGCATAAAAACTATCTTTATCCAACATGATCAATTTCGGCAAGATTGTTACACAGGGATGGCGAAGCTTTCTGACGCCCCCAAAACGGGTTTCACAGCCCCCTTGCCTAATGCATTTCAATCAGCCTCTTGACAACACTCAAATCTGACGTCCCAAATACCAAGATGTGTATTTTTGGTTTCTAGGTGATCATTAAGATAAGGTACCGTAAACCCCGGTGGTGGATGGGAATTGTTCTGCCTTGTTTTACCTACATGCTTAAGCCAGGGTCTCATACCGTATACATGGGGTGGAAGATAGGTATTAAGGTACTATGTTCGAGGAGGTGGCCATTTGAGGATTTTAGCGCCCTTCCTGAAGACTGCCGCAGTGGGATCTACTGGTGAAGGAAGGTGCAGGTATACCCCGAGGCTTTCGTGAAGAGCAGGGTGTATAGTGGTGGTATTTCAGACATACTACGAGCACTGTACAGTACTCGCACAGTTTCCACCATACCTCACCGGATGGTACACTAATCTGGACACACTTCTTGACTCATTCTCTCTCGCCCAAACCCAAACCCCCGGCATCAAGCAGCATTTCGCCCCTCCAAATCTTCCTTTATCTCCAAAGCTTGAGCATCCATGGTCGAAATCTCCAAACCCAAGACCAGAGGCGCACCCCGACCAAATCGAAACCCCATTCACTACCGCATTTATGCAATTTGGGCACGCACACCGGCTGCCGCTTAAAACCCATCAGTGCGTGCGGGTGATGGATACGCCGGGCACGGAGCCTATTGGGGTAATCAAAAGACAGCTATATTTAAACCCATCCATCAAGAACATTACATATCTGCATGCATGCACACTCGTGTCGAACAGAGCAACTCAGAGATCGGGCTAGCTCCATCACAGACGTACCGTGGGACAAGGAACAAGCCGTTTCCGCCGGTTTTCTAGTCGAAAGATCGACTCGATATACACCTTCTCGCCCGGCATCTCGCATCCTATGAAGCATCCGCTAATTTTCGATTAGCTAGGCAAGGGCACCGCCCCTTGCCGGCTTTTTTGGGTCTCCAAGCAATCAGATTGCATTTTTTTCTTTTCTTCCCTGGTCGAAAGTGTATTGGTCCAGTCCTGGGGTCTCCGCGCACGGTACCTTTGCCTGAGGGGGTATACGGGGTGGTGTGATCATTTTTCTTTTCTTTTCTTCCTTCCCTTCTGTTTACCGGGGGACTTGCTAGCGTGTGGATAGCTAGCTGGTGGATATTGGATGGTGGTGTTTCTAAAAATAGGAAGGGCTGCACTGAGGAGCTTTTCGAGATTCGCCGCTGTAATACCATCCGTGATACAAGTTATTAAAATTTACAAGGTACGGAGCACGCAACCCAAGAGAGCGCGCGGGAGGGGACGCACGATTGCATCTAACGAGTGATCCATCATGACATCTGAGAAAAAAAGTAACCCTTACCAGAGGTGCCCGTACGGTATAATCTTGTCACTTGCACTGCGGTTAACACGCCTGGAATATTGAGTCTGTTGTCCAAGAGCCTTCCGGGAAGCCTCCAAAGAGCGTCGGGTGACGTTCGATGCTCATACTATATTCGCGCATGCTTCACGGCGCTATGGTGACTGTGCACGACCGCCTCCAACCCCTGTCGAACCACGACATTAGATAGTAACAGTCGGATAGGGTGATGAGCCAAGGAAGCTAGAGCTGTCTCACGCCTTGATCTCTTTTGCATATATTTTCTCCGGATCACACCGTACCAGCGACTCTGTAAGGGCAATCTTTTCGGAGAGCGGCGGAATGCCACGTATGATAAGAGACGGGCATATGCCCTTGCCTTACAACATAGATTAAATTCAAATGTGTCAAGATAGTCCCGATATTACCGCAGCCTTGCTGATTAAGGGTAGGGTCTACCAGCTTTGCCATGTAACAGGGGAGGGGCCAACTAAACAGCCGTGTGTGGCTCAATTCATAATATATCACTCGATCCAAACCGCAGGGCTGCATGAGGTTTTCTGAGAACATTGCGCCCCCATGAGCGCAGGACACTAGAATTGCGAAGAAATTGAGAGCACGCAACAGCTCGGATTCTGCCTATCGGAGGGTTGCCTTTCGGATGCTCAATATTCCATGGGAGCGCCTGTAGGCATAGTCACACAGAATGGCACCAGCATCGCAACCACAGGCGTAGGGCCTACTGAGCAAATATTAGGAATCAGATTGCAAGTACCCGAATCTACCGAGGCATGAACTCATCTCGAATTTTCTCGCAATATCCTTGAAACTGGTTCTGGTGGTCTGGAGCGCTGTGATTCTAAAGTACTCAAGAGAGGCGTATGACTGTTAGTTTGGATTATATTACACTTTTCTTTCTCAAATTGACTGGTCCTGTGATTCCTAAGCCTGTCGCTTAGCCCCTCACCTCTCCCTACAGCACAAGAGGCACACGGATAGCCGTTAGAATCCGTCGCCGTGCTGCAGGCGTTAGATGTTCATCCAGACGCCTGTGTAGTCGGAAGTTAGTATTATCCGGTGCATCGATATAGGACTATCTAGAGACCCAGGCGATAGGACACCGCAAAGGTTCGAATAGACGACGTTCCTAAGAATGGTAGTGGGATATCAACAAACATATGGCATAACGCGGAGATAGCATACCATGGCACCCTTATGGAAACACGCAATCTCACTCGATTACTCCTTGGATCGCGTTGACAGTATGGTGACATGATATTGGAGTGTTCCTTCGCCCTAGATATAGACACGATTTGTAAGTAGGCTTGCTAGGGATAAACTGTTAAACTTCTTCAAGATGGAAGGCTCCCCAAACCTAAACAGAGTCCTTCTGGGCTCTCTCGATAGTCTATTGTTAAGCACAAAAATCAGATACGATGGAGTTGCTGGGGATTAAGTATATGTTCCATTCTAGTCGGCAAGGGATTCACTTGGCTAAGTATCAGTTTAAACTATCCCAATCACTGGGTGATTTCGGTGTTTGTGTTCTTTTATTGTGTTCAGGGAATCTCCTGTGTCCTTTAAAATGTGTTTTTTTCAGGAAATGCCCCACTAGTCTTCCCCTATCCACTTTGACTTTCTGTATTATATACGGAGAGAGAAGTATTTCTTTCCTCGAGTCTTATCCAGGGCCTCAATCACTCCTTCACAATAACTACAGATAGTGACCATATATCCAACTTGTTATCCAGAGTTATCAGCAATCAACACCCCCTGAGTAAGCTATCTGGCCACTGGAATGTATTCAGTTTTGCCCTGCTAGTGGGGTATCCTTCTGGCTATGCGTGTAGGTGTTGGTGATGGAAGGTGCATTTGGCCAATGACTAGCCCCGTTTTTCTCCTGAAGAACGCTAGAAAGAGATAAAACAATCTTTGCAGAATGCCCTTGCGGTAAATTCTAACACACCATATCCCCAATACTGACCCTCACAACATGCTTGGCGAGATAGACCTCGGCTGGGTTGGGGTGGTGGTTGTGGGGGGCTAGAGGGGGCGGCCAAGGGTCTGCCGCCACCTCTACCTCTGCCTCTAACCCTGGGAGGAAACAGAGGTGATGGATAAGAGACTCAGTTGATGAAAAGTAATGGAAAACAAATAACAGAGGATTATTTTTGATGGAGGTGGTGGACGTGCACAGTTGGTCCATGGGATCGGAGGTGGAGAGAAGTCTGTTGTTCCTCTATCGAAGATGACTGGCTATCTAATACATAGGTGGAAGACACCACATGAGGGTAAACCCCTTACGAGTACACTCATCTGTGCACCCACAGCACAATCCACGTGTATACCCTCACTCATACATTTCCCGTGCATGTCTTTGCCCACCTGTGTTCTTCTGCTCTGCCATATCTGTACTCTCAACACCACAACATGCTGCTATGAGGATTATAATACTATCAATTTTTTGGTAAAAAATCTTTAAAGTGGAAGGTGATGCGGTGTATATGTGTGCTGATAGAATCATACCCTGTCACTCAACCCTCGGCCCTCCTAGAGTAGGAGGGGCCCAAACTACTCAAGAGCAACTTCTCCATCTACTCACCGAATTAACCAGGTTCTCCAAACTTTTAGTGTGCGAAGCAAGTATATCACAAGAATCAGACAACGATTGCAATGACAGCCGCCATCCCATAATAGTAGTAATAATTGAACCTCACACTAGGAGGTTGGAGTCGTGTCTCCTCGTAAGGCCTGTTGTAATTCCCTTCTTACTCATCTCAGCGGAATGCTGAAAGCTATATTTTCCCCCAGGGTGATCTTCTTATCGAAAGGGGAATTCTAGACGCTTTAGCGGGAGGTTCGGTCTGTCCAGTTCATATAGTACCGTAGCATCCCTTTCAATATGTATAAGGAGCGAAGTGTAGCAGTAATCAACCCGGTATCCAAGATCCCTGAACTAGAACATTCACCTTCTCCAGGGGGCAGGGAGAGTAGTCAATTTCTTGGACTTTGAGAAAAAATTCGACAAGCTGTAGAAGGCACACTTGCAACTCTCAAGCACATCTACCGGCACTCGTGCTCCTTCACCTCCCCTCACTCGAAATCTTGTCTCGATAGAGGGAGATATGGTGAAACCCTTGCTCCTACGGTGGGGGTGGGCCAGGGCTCGAATTTGCGTTTATCGTAAAATACAACTATCATATAAAAATTGTCACTTTGAAATTACCGTTTTGGCAAAATCGTTCTCTCGATACCAGAGGGGTTCGTTAACTTCTGTGGTATCATATGATAGGATGGTTCAAGTCCCCGAGTTATCCCGCGAGCGCGAGGTATTAAGGGCTTTCTGCCGAGCCGCTGTATTATTACAGTAATGCTCGTACAGTTAGAAAAATTAATTAATCCACAGTCGCGGCAGTGGTTATGCGAGTGATATAACAGAAAAAACCCCTTTTGCGTAATTTTGGAACCATGTTTTACGATGACCGTGACTCTGGGGCCCAACACGCAGTTTTGAACTCGCGAAATCGCGGTTCGAAATTGTAATCACGGCGCGCCAAACACGCCCTAAGAGCTTAGGACCACTTACAGTTTCCTGAACATCCTCTTAAATAAGCCCTAGTCCTTCTCCTTGCCGAGTTCCCACAGCTTCCCTTCCAATTTTCCCACAGCAAGACAAGCACTACTGGCGCCGTGCTGTATCCGTGGACGGTTGTGACCCGAATTAGGGTACAGCCCTCCTTTGCCGAAAAACAAAGTCACGCCGCAACTTCTACAAGGAATACAGCAAAGCAACCGCCATCATCGACCTCAACGACAACTATCCGCCGACTTACCACCGCTAAACTTCAGCTTGAACCTCAACAACCAGAAAACAACAGGGTACGCCATCTTCTGGAAGTCGAAGGGAAGGGAGGCAAAACTCGCCGACTGACTGGGTGCAGAGTTTCGAAGCAAAATACAACGCAATCATGGGTAAAGTCCACGGATCACTCGCTCGTGCTGGTAAAGTCAAGTCTCAGACTCCCAAGGTTTGTTTCCCCACCTTTTTTCACAACGCCACCGAAGAGTTCGTAACTAATGGTCCGCAGGTCGAGCCCCAAGAAAAGCCAAAGCAGCCCAAGGGCCGTGCCAAGAAGAGAATCCTGTAATTATCCACTACCTATTCGCCAAACGCTTTCGGCAAAGGCTAACAGTTGGGGGAAACAGCTACACCCGTCGATTCGTCAACGTTACTATGACCGGCGGAAAGAGAAAGATGAACCCCAACCCAGGATCCTAGAGAGTTGGATTGAGCACGAGGGACAACAAAAAGGGTTCGAAGAAACAAAAAAAAATGTATACTCTTTCGGGAATTTAATATCTTTTTTTTCTGGGATACGATTGGTGCAGTTTCGTTTCGTTTCTTTTCCTTTCCCTCTCCATGGGATTTACGGGCTACCAATTCGTTATGGGATTTTTGTGGGATTTGGTGGATGGTTGGATGATTAAACGACCGGATGGGTTGGGGGATGATTGGTAGGGGTGGCAATTTCTCATGATATTAGAGATGGAAGCCGTATGGCGGATTCTTTTTTGGTGCTGGCCGTCTTTTGCCCTCCTATCGGATTTTAATTGGTCCCTTTATGCAACGTTTACTATCGCTATGAAGTCGCAATTGATGTTTTAGAGCTTGTGGTCTATTTCATGGTCTATGGAATCGCGTGCGCTAGTCAGCTCTAGCTGAGACATAAACAGACCGATTCCGTAAAATTATATTGGATTAACTCTGCTACAGTACTGTCGAGATAGATATTCGACGGTCTATTCACAAAACATGACTTATACGCCCAAGCAGTACCATTCTCTGCTAGGGCAACAAGCATCCTAAAAGTGATGGTATCCCATATATATATATATCAAAGCCATCCATCTATCCGGCCACTCGGTCAATCATGCCATATAAATCGAACAGGGTGCCACCTGCAACTCCGCGTTCTAATAGCACCTACCTCCGGCCCCCGTCCCCACACACTCTCCTGAAAGCGGAAGAAATGGAAAGAGGAAAGGAAATTACCACGAGGCAGAATCATAAAAAGACAAAAAAGGAATACCCCCAATAACCTAATAGCTCCAGTTCCCAGATCCAAAGCAAAAAAACGCTAGTAGAAAGAGCCCGGTCAGATTGAACCGCAAAAAGAGACAAACCGAAGAAGTTAATAAAAAATCAAAAAAAATCCCGAGGACCACAACTTAAGGGAAGGGAAGAGTAAAAAGAGAAAGGTTGTTGATACATCAAGACCCTTGTACAGTTTTCCACTATTAACGTAGACCGCGAAACACCCGAGAGTGACGACATGATGTTATATTTTCTCCTCTGGTTTATACATGTTCTGGGCAAGCACCTTGTTCATAGTACTATTTGCGATAAGTTAGAGAGTTTGCTAGTCCGGTATTTGTATAGAACCCGACTTACAACATGTGTATTTTGTTACCAAAGATTGGCTTCATGGAGTCATCGCAAATAATATAACGCTTATCTTCAGGGTCCTGAAGATTGCGCTCCTTGACGTATGCCCAAATGCGTTTTACTGTTTCCGGACGCGAGAGCTTGGGGATCGTTAGCTTGGGAGAGCATCTTGCGAGAAGGGGGGGGGTGGTAAGATAGATACCATGGTCTCGCCCAAGAGACTTGATAGGGGTTCCGAGAGAATCAATGGAGCCTGCGGGAGGTTAGAAGTGAGCTATAAATAGGCCGGAGCTCATACCATGAAAGGGCTATTGGGATTAGCCTTTCTCTTCTTTTTTGTTGGCCTCTCTCCGCCGGAGCCATCAGAATTGACTTTCACGTCGCTCTTCTTAGATTTGCGGACCTTCGGGGCGGGTTTCACCGGCTTCTTCTTGGTGGACCTAGAAGGGCGACCGCTATTCCATTGAGCGTGAAGCTCAGCAGCTAGTCTTGCGTCCTCATCAACGACGGACTTGCTCCTCTTAGAGGGAGTGACCGAGTACTCATGTTTAACGGCATTCCCAAAGTCTCCTGCGGTAGAGAAACTATCTTCGGAAACCTCCTCCTTGACTTCCTGCTCGTACTCGTCTTCGCCTTCCCCTTCAGCATCCTCCTCCTGTTTAACACCGTTGTCGAACTCCCGTTGAGCGAGTACGTTCTCGAAGCGATCAGCGATTAAGAGGTCAATTTGCTTCTGTATTCAAGAGTCAGCAAGTGCGTGACTAATGCGGTAGCGGGGGTCAATTCGGACCTTTTGGAAAGTAACATCGTAGCCAACTTTAGTTTGTAGACCGTTACGGACTTTTTTGACCGAGACAGTTGTTAGGTCAGAATCAAAGAGGATGGCATCGATAATCGGTATAAACTGATAGCAGCAACAGCGGAAAACGCTTAATGTTAGGCAACTCATCACACACTAGTAACAGCCCGCCAGCCGAATTGGAAAGAGTGGGTGATTACCGTCGAAACATCTTCATCGGACACTAATAATTCAAGATACTGTCAGCGCGAACAAATACCGAAGGATGTATAGGCATCGGAACTGTGGGAACACAGATTGCTGGGAGGAAAGAGAGAGAAACGGGAGGGAATGGAATGGAACGAGAGAGATGTGGGAGAAGGAGGAAGTACATGCGGAGGAGGCCATGATTGGATGCACACGGTGGCAGCTGCAACGGGTGTTGTGATGACGGTTGAGTGGGGGATATCAGTGGGCAGGGCGCATAAATGGAGGAAGGAGCGATCGAACAGCAGCAGTAGGAGAGGGGGGGACAGGAAGGGGAGGGGCGGCGTGGAACTGAAGGCGGGCACAGTTGTTCTTGAACCAGGTTAGGGTTTCCCTTTAGCTGACTTATGATATGAGGAATCGTAAGGGCAAAATAAAATAGAGTAGGAAGCAAAGTTCTAACAGCGCTGATTGGCTGGAATGGAAGAATTCATGCGCGATAAAACTACTCGCAGTCTATTCTAGGAAATAACTGTTCAGAAGTTGAGCAAGAAGCGTCAAGAGAGGACGATGTTGAAATTGAAGGGGAAGAAAAATGGAGAATTCCGTCTTCGGGCTAGGCGATGACAGCAAAACTGGGGTTTGGTTGTCAGGTGGCTGGTGCCTACACGTGACTGTGCCCTTGGGGCTCATGAAAACTCAATTGGAATGTTACCAAGATCTACCGAAAAGAGGAGCCCAACACAAGGCCTTGCACAGTGATATCAATAGAGCTCAGGTATCTGCGGGCAGATCGTCATGTAATATTGTCAGAGTAGAACCGAATATAAACGGTAATGCATCTCTAAATTAGAGTTTTAGCTTTTTCCCCGTCTTGGGATCAAGCTCCACAATTTGATCAATCCCATCATATTCTGGTAGTTCGAGATCATATTTTTGGGCGATATCAGGTGAAACAAACCTGAGGGATGTCAGAAAAATGCAAAGTGAAGCAAATGCCGAGAAATATACCTTCCGCCCAGGAAATGTCTGCCATGAAAGAACTTTGCCAACGGCTTCGGTGCCGTTAAACTCACTAGAGCGGTTGGATAAAAGCCCTTTCCAGGCCCTTCACTTGGAGGCCCGTTCTCGATATCCCACGAAGAAGGTGCATCGACGGAGGTCACCGGAATAGTGGTTTCCTTCAGAGCCCTGATTACCGCCGGGAAAGGTTCTCGGACTTCTCCCGAAAAACTAAATCCTGTGGAACCATTAGCGGTGGCCCGAAATACCGGTTGAGTGAATATACCAAAGATGGCGTCGATAACATGGCTTGTCTCTTTTAAGGCCCCATCAAAGTCTTCGGTGAAGGGCACACCAAGGTTCTTTAGTTGTGTTGCCAGTCGTTGGTAGAGTTCGTTTTTGGATTGCTTGGGGTAGTAGACAGTTGGTTGGTAATTGTAATGCCAAAGATGGCGTGCAGCTACCAGACCGTCGCCACCTGCAAATTGTCAGCTTTTGGGTGGTTTCCCGGTTTCCTGGATGGAAGGGAACCATTATTTCCGCTACCGTACACATTAGCTTTCGTTACGCTAACCCGGGAGTAAGACTTACGGTCCGCAAGCAATAAGGATCTTTCTCCCTCCGTTTGGAGGGTGAAGTCTGTAGACTTTGAGGGGTTGTTAGCCTTCCCAAATTTCAAAGCTTATTAGCGAGAATACCAGCTTGAGATACAGATAACCTAAGCTCAAAATGTCAGAGGCCTTAAAGTATAGGTAGGTATTTGAGGTTACGGCTTACCCAGCCAATTCCATGAGCTGGTCGATGGAAAAGGCTCCCGTGCTCATCAGTTCTTTGTCTAGGGCTGCAGCGCTCTTTGCGGATAGAGTCTATAATATTGTGATATCTGCATTAGCGGACCCTGGCGGAGATCTTGGGCGGGAGCCAAACTTTGAAAGCCATTTCCCTGGTATCGATTGAAATGCTTCTACCAGGCTGAAACTCTGACAGAGGTGAGAATCTTGAGATGTCGATATAAACCTGACTTACTATGGAATTGGCTCTGGGTGTTCGGCGGGGGAAGGTAGGGTTGACGTCATATCCAGAGTACTTGATAAGTCAAGGCCCAGTGAGGTAGTCTAAACAGACTGTTGGGTTCTTGAGGACTCAAGCAATTGGAAAATAAAAACGACCTAACAATCATGATGAACAGGGAGTGGAATTTCATTTCGGTAATTAATTCTACTAGAATATGTTCCCACTGCGCATGCAGGATCCGATTTCACTCTCAGAGCTGAGGCTCTTTGCAGTTGTGTGGTCTCTCTTATCGTCCCAATATCTTATCAGATCCCAGTTAGGGCTTACCCTGACAGCCCTGACTGCCTCCCCCCCACACAAGTTTCAAAGTGTAGAGCCCACCGCTAGTAGCTCTCCGAAAAATTAATACGGCATCAACAACAACCCACTAACCAACAGCTTATCGCCAAACGACCGACGACATGGGTGCCCTTAAGTACGTTGAAGAAATTCACAAAAAGAAGCAGTCGGATATCCTCCGCTTCTTGCTTCGTGTTCGTTGCTGGGAATTGAGGTCATTGAGTGCGTTTGGATCTAGAATTCTGCTTTATTTCAATTGCTAATGGGTTGGGGGGATCATAGATGTCATTCACCGCGCCTCCCGCCCTTCTCGTCCTGATAAGGCCCGTCGTCTGGGGTACAAGGCTAAGCAAGGCTATGTTATCTACCGTATCCGTGTCCGCCGTGGAGGTCGCAAAAGGCCCGCTCCTAAGGGTGCTACCTATGGGTAAGGAGGCCCAAGATCTCAGGTTGGGACTGCAGCTGATGGTAATCTCGATAATAGTAAACCCACAAACCAGGGTATCAACCAGCTGAAGTATCAACGGTCACTCCGTTCTACCGCCGAGGAGCGTGTCGGCCGTCGTTGCGCAAACCTGCGTGTCCTAAGTACGGCACCACCTCTTCAAGTTACCCAATATAGGAATCTAATGTTTTTATGACAGACTCCTACTGGATAAACCAGGACTCCACCTACAAATACTTCGAAGTCATCCTCGTCGACCCCCAACACAAGGCCATCCGCCGTGATGCTCGCATCAACTGGATCACCAAGCCAGTCCACAAGCACCGTGAGTCCCGTGGATTGACTGCTACCGGCAAGAAGAGCCGTGGCCTCAACAAGGGCCATCGTTACAACAAGACGACTGCCGGTCGCAGGAAGACCTGGAAGAGACTCAACACTGAAAGCTACTGGAGATACCGTTAGGGAGTCGTTATGTTTCTAGGGGAAAGCGGGAGGTTTTGTGCTCTTTTTTTCCCGGGGTTTTTTCTACAGCAATCTAAATTATTTGCTGGGGTGTTTGGGTTTTCCTTTAGCGACTAGAGTTCAGCTGGATTAGTCCGGGCATGAAGATGTGAAATTGATCAAACTGCAGTGAGGCTATACCGAAGTGACTGGGCGTCTGGCATAATATTTGTTGAGCTAGAAAAACTTCTTAGGGCGATAGTTTCTGGCATCCTCGTGGCTCATGATGTTAGAATATTCGGACTACTTGCTTTTACAGCCCCCCCTTAAGTCGCCGATCAATTCCCTAGGCATGAGCAGTTAAATTACCAGAGCCGATTTACTGTAAATCATTTGGAAACTACCGGTAACTATATTTGGGCCCAATATGGAGCCACTATTATCATCTATTGGACAGCCTGCAACCACCTGGCTCTGAGTTCACAAGCAATCACCACAAATCACTCGGTTCTTATGATCCTCCAGATACATCACTCTGGGTACCCATGCTACCGCCACCCAACCTCAATCACCCTCCCGCTCACACTCTCAGGACTCCTCAGCGTCAACCCCGCCGCCTTCTGCGCCCTGTCGATGACCTCCCCGACATGCACCCCACTAATCCCCATCTTCACCAGCCCCGCCAAGACGACTCCCGTAAACGTATCACCCGCACCATTAACACTCACGACATCCTCCTGTGAAATCACCTCTGCCGGGAAATGCTTCACCATGATTCCTGCCACAGCACCCGTGCCCTGGGAGACAATTGCTTCGGGTGGTGGCGCTGCAGAGGGGGAGGAAGCCGCTGGTGGAAGAAGCTGCACAAGTACAACCCCGTCGGCACCGAGCTTAACCATGATCCTGGGAAAGTACGGCGACAGGTGTACCGCGGACTGGATTATCCCGCCTTCTAGCAGGTTTGTATTTAAGCGGGTGGAGAGTTGGGCTACACCTGCGGTCCATTAGTCATTAGGAAATGAGTTGTGGGGGAGGAGGTACTATTTAAAAACGCCGAATCGGCATTAATGTTATCTATGACACGCCACCAGTCCTCCCGCTCAAACATTCCGATTTCACGAGCGTGGGTAAACATGGCTGCTAGTTCGTGGATGTTTGGAGTCGTCAGTGAGATCGCGGAGGTAGAAGGGTAGATGGGGAGAGTGGGTGAGAGGATGCGGGTGGATTTTGAAGATGATGTTGGTTCAAACGTTACTATTCACCGCCACCACCACCATCAGTAGATGTTTCTCTGGGGTGTGTGTCGGGGGCGGGAGGGTGAACATGGAATATCAAGCTTAGCGGTAGCTTTAACCACCTCCGCCAATCCCTCCACTGACAAATTCCCGTCGACACAGACAACCTTCACACCCTTAGCTATCTCCTCCCTCGCCAAAGTGCTCATCTCAGCGCTTTCAAAAACACGCATATCCGCCCCCGCGACGAATAGTTCCCCGGAGGAATTATTGATCGCGGTGTACTTCGCCGTGACTCCGCCAATCTTCTTCACGCCACTAACGTCCATGCCTAACGCTCGGAGCTTCTCAAGCGCCCAGGCTCCGGCCAGGTCATTTCCGATGGCGGATACTAGACGGACATTTGCACCGGCGAGGCGTGCTGCCAGAGCGACGTTCTTGCCGACGCCGCCGAGGGTTTCGGTGGCTACTGCTGGGTTAGAGGTGTGTAGCTGAAGTATTTTGGCGGTGGGTTTGAGGGTTTGGTCTATTACTATGCTGCCAATTACTAGGATTTCTGGGACTGCGATGGTAGTAGATGATTGATTGATGGGGGTAGGCGGAGGGGTTGGAGCGGGAGTCACCGGCAGCATGAAATTTGAAGTGGAAGTAGAGGAAGGAGGGCTATGCGAGAGACAGCACCATGAGCGTTAGTTCATGAAACCTCCGGGGCAAAGACAGAATAAAACAAAACAAAGCAAATAAACAGGTATTTGTAACCCTTCTTCTTCCTTCTCAAGTCTCGCAAGTTCCTGCGCTACCTGGGCTCCCATTCTCGCATTGCACAAGACGAGTGCTGTATTCGCTGCTAACGAGGCGCCCTTTGTAACTTCTTTAATTTCGTTGAGGATGTAGGGCGTCTGATCTTTCCCGAAGACCCCTCTATCGCGGGCCTTTTCCACAGCTTTGGAAATAACCCTGTTGATGTCCTTTTCCGGAATTTCGAATTCTTCGGGGATGGGGTTGCAGAGCAGCTGACCGGATGTTAAGCCCATCATGTGGCTTGCGTCTAGTATCGTTATCAGCTGGGGGCATGGTAAGAGTGCGGTAGGGGACATGCATATAGCGCTGGCAGCGTCCCTAGGGTTCTCTAGGATATTTGGACTAATAATATTGCTCTCCCGACAATAAAAGGCCGGAACCATGACCTCTGTCCCGGCCTTACCAAACGTGCCGACAAATACTCCCTGGGTCTCTAACACTTCAAAGGTGTTCTCCAAGTCCAAGAACGCCTTCGAGCCAGAGGAGATAACCGCAACATTTGTCCTCCCCAACTCTACCAAGTCCGCAGATACATCCATTGGGTTTGGATACCCTCTGTGCACTCCTCCTAGCCCTCCGGTCGCAAAAACTTTAATACCCGCCGCATGTGCCAGTAGCATGGTCCCCGCAATCGTTGTCCCGCCGTTGTGCGCCGTTACATGTCTCTACCGTCACATCCAAGGCTGAGTTAGTGATCCCACTGTATATCCAGGGTTAGGGTTCCCAGGTTGAGACCAGACCATCCCCACGACAAACGGCAGATCTCGACGAGACACTTTAACGGTGGTTTTCTGTCCCGCAGTGGATGCTAGGCGCTCCAATTCCGGCTGTGAAAATCCCACACGGGCGATTCCATCCAGGATCCCAATGGTTGCGGGAACAGCGCCACCCTCGCGGATGGCGGCTTCAACTTTGGCGGCTAGGTCCACGTTGTCCGGGTATGGGAAGCCTACGATTTTCAGCCATGTGAAAGTGGGCGGGAGAGGGGAGTTAATAGGTACCATGTGTGTAAATGGCCGTTTCTAATGCTACGATGGGGGTCTTTGACGCTAGCGCCTCATGAACCTCCTCCGAGATTTGAAGGAATTTTTTGAGATTTGAGGAATTGGAATAGGTGCTCTGGTGGTAGCCAGCTGGAAATGTGGGGAAGATTCGCGGGATATGGCGGGGGAGACGGGATATGGTGGACATCGCGTCGCGGTGGTGGTGTTGGAGAGAATTGGTGGTGGGGGTTGGGACCCCCAGTGAGTATTACGGCAGTCTATCTATAGTTTGCGGTTGACGACGGGTGTAGGGATGGGAGACACTCGGCATCACTCGATTTTTGGTTCAAGCTAGAGACGAGGTTTAGAGTATTATACGGTAAACTTCCGGGTATATATGCCACACCTGGCAGGGAATACTCCTATATCATAATATAAGCTATATACTGCCCTGTGTAAATGAGTTCTTCCTGATTCTTAACCAGACCCTCTGCGTTTGGCCCAATGTCCCAGACCGGATACCCTCATACCTAACCCTCGCTTCTCCATAGCACAAGCAAATGGAGGGCTATCACAAACAAGCTAGCCTCATCACGTGACCGATAAGATTTCTGCAGCATTACCCAGAAAAAAATCACAACGGACAATATCCTTCCCCCCAATTGGACTGTGAAGACACCAAAAGAACCCTCAAAAGACTCCCTCCCGCCTTCCCTCATACCTCGCCATATACGAGATGAGGAGGACACTACGGTGTACTCGCCTCCTTTCCGATCTCCCTTGGCCTTCACACCGCCGACCAACCGTGTCTTCTCTACCGGCGCTCGCACTGTCGCTGTTACCCCAGCGGGCATGGAATTCCGAGAATATAAAGTTACGGAACTACCAGGAGGACTGTATTCAAGCAATTCTGACGCATATGAATGAGGGAGGGCGAAGGATGGCGATTTCACTGGCTACTGGTGGAGGGAAAACTGTATTCCTCATTTCCCTTATACTCCTTCCTCTGAACGAGCGATAAACTCACGAGATCAATGCGCGCTACTTGTGGCGATAGATCATCTTCACAGAGTTAATATCCCGCCTAACTCACCCCGTGCGCCCAAAAGCCGAGAAAACACTCATCCTAGTACACCGCCGGGAACTTGTCCAACAGGCGGCGAAGCAGTGCGAAAAGCAGTACCCGGGCAAGGTCATTGACATAGAAATGGCCTCTTCGCACGCGAGAAAGGAGGCAGATATAATTGTTGCATCGGTACAATCTATTATAAACCGGCTGGAAAAGTACGATGCGGAATTGTACAAACTTGTATTGATCGATGAGTGCCATCATGCGGTTTCGCCGTCGTATCTAAAGGTCCTCAGACATTTTCAGGCTATAGAAGTTAATGACAAGACTCCGGTTGTTGTGGGTGTTAGTGCCACGGTTTCAAGATTTGATGGGTTGAGCTTGGGGAAGGTGTTGGATAGGCTGGTTTTTCATATGTGGGTGTTCTTGAAGTGGGGATTGGTTGGGCAGGGGCTTATGTGTGCGTAGGGACTCTGCTACGATGATTGAGAATGAATGGTTTGTTTTCCGTGGGGTTATCACTGTGGATGCTGGCTGATTGGGATAGGTTATCGCCTCCACGGTTTACGACCGTGAGCTCAAGTGTAGACCTGACAAGCGTCGGGGATAGCGCAACCGGAGATTTTGATATAAGGGGACTTGGGCGAGCCGTCAACACCGATGTAGCAAACCATGTTATTGTAAAAACCTGGATGGACCGAGCACGTACTTCTCCCTCCATGTCTTCACCTAACCACTTACTAATCCTTAACAGCAAATCGTAAATCAACCCTAGTATTCTGTGTCGACCTGGCCCATGTTCGCTCAGTAATGGACAAATTCCGTGCGCACGGCATTGACGCCCGGGAGGTCACCAGTAGAAGCCCAACCCAAATCCGCCGAGAGTGTCTGGATGAGTTCAAAGCCGGAAAATTTCCCGTGATGGTTAACTGCGGTGTTTTTACCGAAGTACCCCCCCCCCCCCGACCTCACCTTGCTCCTCTGAAGGTCGATTGAGCGTACTGATGATGGGTAGGGAACCGACATTCCAAATATCGACTGCGTAATCCTCGCGCGCCCAACCCGCTCGAAAAATCTAATCACCCAAATGATCGGTAGAGGCCTGCGTAAATCAAAGGATACGGGGAAAATTGATTGCCACGTAATCGACATGGTAGCAAACCTCTCTCGGGGAATTGTTACAACGCCAACACTCTTCGGCTTAGATCCAGATATGGTGGTCAACGAGATGACACCAGACCAAATGCGCGCTGCAGCCGCCAAAGAAGCAGAGGCGCGGCGGAAGGCTGGGGAGGAGGAGGAGAAACGTCTTCGTTATGAGCAGTTGCACGCTGAGGACGAGCTCCGGAGGAAGGAGGAAGCCAGGCTCGAGGAGGAGATCCAGAAAATGAAGGAGGAGAAGAGAAGGGCTGCGCAAGAGAAGGTGATGAGAGTCGCCGAAGAAGCGCGAATAAAAGCCGAGCAGGAAGCACTAGAACGCAAGCAGGCCGAAATAGAAATGGAAGAGGCCAAAAGGGAAGGGAAGAAACTCGCCGAAGCAGCCGAGCGCCAGATTGCCAAGGAGGAGGGACACCTCCGGGCCATCGCTGCCGAAAGGCTAAAACAGGATGCTCTGGCCAGAATCTCACCAGCACCTCCAATCAAACTAGAGTACACAGACTATGAAGATATCTGGGACTTGCTGAGCGATAGTCGTTCCAACAATCTTATCTATAAAATGAGCAGGCTGGCCTGGGTCGCCATCCACCCGAGTAAGTATATTCTCAGTTGCGGCCGGAACGGGTACATCAAGGCGGAAATGGACTGTGACGGGTGGTATAACGTGGAAGAATTCCGCTCGCTCCCGCCAGAGGTGGGGCGGGCCAAGTGGGCGAAGCCGAAACTTGTCATGTCTGGTGTTGAGCAACTGGATGCAGCCATCCGCGGCGCTGGTATTATTTCCCTCTTCCCTTAAATTAACACCTACTAACTTGAGCGTATCATACAGACACCTACGTCCTAAGCACCTACCCCAGAATATTAATAGAGCGTAGTTCTTCGTGGCGCAAACTCCCCGCCTCGGATCAGCAGCTTGAGTTCCTGAAGAAGTTTCGCCACCGCGGTGACAAGGATTGGGAAGACATGCGAAAGTCCCAAGCACTCACGAAGGGCATGGTCGGGGACATCATCACCCGCGTGAAGCACGGCACTGTACGCCATTTCGACGAGAAGATGAAGGAGGAGAAGAGGAAGGAGAAGGAGAAAGCTAAGGAATCGAAGAGGAGGCTAAGGGAGGAGGTTAAGGTGGGGGCTATTGAGTAAGTTTGTCTGACATTATTGGGGGGGGTATTGGGAGTGAATGGGGGATTGTATATATGCTATATTTGCAGTTGTATTATAGGTTTCAGGTATGGGTTAGAATTTGGATTGGGTGTTTTTCATTTTTTTTTTTTTTTCAGGAATGGTTCTTTGCTGAAACGTTTTCTGTACGTCACTCGGGGGTGGCTAAATATCCGATGATAGCTGGGGGGGGGGTTTGATGAGAGTATCACTTCTATAGTATGTATTTTCGGTTTAGTTACAACCCTCTACTTCATGTGCATCTTCTAGTGATGCCGCGTTCGAGTATTTATAGTAGCGATACGCAGTTGAAAGATTGACCCCATGCCCTTCGGCGTTTCCCTTATCTGCCACTTACAGGGCATCTTGCCCGCATGCATAGTGACCTTCCCCTCCTAATACTACCGTTCCTATGATATGCCCGCAGAGCGCACTTGATATCAATCGTGTAGAGGCGAACAAATTGAGCAAAAACCATGTCACCAAAATATATTGAGTGTGCAATTGTGAACGTGTTGGTAAGTAATCCGTACTGCACGGGCCGCTCCGTGCCTGGGGGGACCAAGGTCCCTACTCTACCCCGCTACCCCCCACCGACTCCCAAACCCCCCCCCCCCCCCGACACACCAGGGCTACAGCCACAGGGGCCCACCAGACGAGCCAGATCAGGAGTCCTCAGACCCGAAATTTTTGAAAACAGACTGAGCTGGAATGAGAGAAAGAATGTTCTCCATGACTGTGGAACGTGGGTAGGGGACCCTCTGAGGAGGCATAGGTGCCATCAGAATCTTCTCAACTGATTTCGTGCTCTCTAGTGCTCGATATACTACAAAGAAATCACTTGCACCATATGCTTATACAATTACCCAGAGCCCAACCTGGACATCCCTGGCTGCCAGTACAGTACCACTTCCCTTGTGACCCTCTGTGTATAAAAATTTGGACCGGCAGGGGAATTGTATGCCCCGATCCATATACGACAAGGACTGCAGCTCAGATTCGAAAGGCCAACATAGCCGAACGCCGGAACACCACTCCCCCACCCCCCCCCACTTGGGTTACTTTCTCTCCTACCTCCCTCCCTCACTCGCTTTTCTCCTCCCGTCTCCCCGCTATGTCCTACCACTCTCCCACCCCCGGAACACCTACCACCCCGATTACCATGTACTGGCCCTTTGCCACCTCCGAGTGCTATCAGTTCACACTCACAATGAGCATGAAACTTGAAGGTCTGTTTCCGGAAGAACGATGCTGGCTAGGTTTCTCCTTCCATATAGAACTCGTTGCAGATATACCAAATAATGCTCTCTCTCACTGAGCTACTAAGGACGGGATTTCTACAGACCAACCCAGAGGCCCAGTAATGGTGCCAATGCCGAGCCGCGTTCGAGCGCAAGTCACGGACGAGGAGAGTGAGCAAATGCAACTAAGGTCTGAAAATGGCGCCGACTAGCGAGCTTCTCCAGAGAATTGCGAAACCGGGGGTGGAGATTGGCTTCAAGAGCCACCCAACGGCAAGGAAGCCCCACGGGAGCCTAGCGGGGTAACTGCCAAAAGCTCTGGACCTGACCGGATGGTGATATATCTCCGGACTGCTGTCTTTGGCTGGGATGGCAGGCCCTACGGGATGTGGCGGTGACTTTCAAGAGTAGGTCTAGGACGGCCACGAAGGGTGTAGGAATAGTGGGGGCCGGGAGCAATGGTATGAGTGATGCTTTATGATTCCTGCCTCGCCTACGCCGATTCCGGAGACTGGGTGAGTGGAGTAAAACCAAGTAAGAGTCTCAAAGTTCAAATTTGCGGCTATACCTTTTGCTCCTGAATAAACTCCCGGGTTTTATCCGCTTCCTCAAATAGTGACAACTTTGGGCGCACTCAACAATCAAAAGCAGCATTACTAGGGCAGTAGGCGCATTCCCAGTACGACAGGATGGTGAAGTATCCACCGAGAAGAGCAAGAGATAAAAAACCCAAGCTAAGTGGGTTCACAACAAGAAGGCACATCCCGAGCGATGGGGAATAAAGTGGTGTGCAGCATGGAGGGGTATATTTTAGTCGCGCAATACCAAGGACGGCGAGGGACTATGGAAGGCGGAGGCTAATTGTCGGGGTTTACCGCATCATAAAGGACGCCCAGGATCATATCTTAGTTTGTCCGGTCCTTCGCCTGTTGGCATCAGGGCATCCAAGAAAGAATAATCAGGCTATGGCCTATAGTCCTTCCCGCCATACCGGTACTCCAAGACGGACAGGCTAGACTGTTGAGAACTCTGGAACAATGATGTTGCCGAGTGAAAGAACCATATATCTAGGAACGGGTTTACCTATGAACCGCGGCACTAGCATCTCACAGCCCAAGTTATCCTCTGTTGCAAGTTTCACCTTATAAGCTGAATGACATCCACCATGCCATTAGCACTTTTCCAAACTCCATCCGTGAGATCTTGGATCGCCAGTAGCCCGTGGGCAACCCCGAACGGAAAAAGGGAATTATAGCGTCCTCCTCACGTCCTTCCAATTCCCGCTGTGGGCCCCGCGGCTAAGACGTAAGAGCAGCAAGGCCATCCCGCCACTTTCAAACCCGTTTTTAGATATTTCGTATCGATGTATCTCGTGGAATATATTTCGGCTAAGGCTGAGTCCCATATCATGTAGGATAGTGCCCGAACTCAGTCCGGAATAGCCCCACCCCTCTGAGTCCTCCTGGCCAACCCTGTAGCCAGTACGTCTATCGGGCAATGCTCCTAGATTTCCCCACGCTCCTGCGAAATGCGGAGCAAGGCCAGCCTTGCCACCGCTGTTCTCCACAGTAGTTGGACAAATTTGCTCCCTCAGAACTGCAAATAGAGAGAACCACGGTGATAACCGGATCACTCGGCTCCGAGACACAAATGCTGGCAAGAGCATCTAGCACTGGAAAGGTGTGGCGGTTCGCACCAATGACTCCACACCACATTCTGTACCCGTAGAATATTCTAGCGAGGAAAAACATTGTGATAACGATGACCGATGGCTTGTGCGTCAAGTAACCAAACGGCGCGGGCCAAGTGGATGATCTATGATGGGATAATTTGGCCGACCAGGCAAGATAATTTTCTGCGATTGAGTCAGCACAATGCTAGACAAACACAAAATAAATTGTTTGGTGGCTGTCGTGTCCATATTGAAGTTACAGGTGCTTGATAACTGATTTGAAGGGGAATACCGGTACAATACCGCAGAATACCGAGCCAGGATATCTGCGAAGGGGCAAGCTCTTGCTCGCAAAGGAGAATTCAGCTCTTTCTGTTGGGGCTGGAGCGGTGGTGATTGGAGTTAAAGGTCTGTGACAGCAAACAGGGAGCTACAAGTATGATACAGTACTCGTACTCGTACGAGATACAGAACCCATGCTCCTCAGCCAAGATTTGGTATCCTATTTGTCCTAGCTCGTCAGTTCTTTTCCAGCCCAGCCACTTATCAATAGCCCGAAGAAGAAGAAGAAACGTAAGGCTCCGCCCGGCGGACAGCGATACAAAAATACTGTGATTCTCCTCCAGGTTCAAGATTTGCCAAAGCTCGAATCCCTTCGGCCAAGGGGGGAAAGAAAGAAAAGAGCCATATCCACATAGCAGTTCCCCCACCAGTAATTTTGACCAAAATCAAAATCCCATAACTTGGATATGTGAGTCGGGATAAGATTAAAGAAATAAAAATAAAAATAGAGAACGCAATGCTAACACGTTTCATTCTGGACAAAAGTGCTGTGAAGGTCTGAAAAGCACCATTTCTATGGGGTGCCAAACGAGGACTACCGCGACCACTACCCGTACTCTAGACACCCTAGTGGCCGTTTCTGCTCTCCCAAACGACGTCGAGTATCATACTCACCATCCAAAACTGTTGAAGGTTCTAGATGGATGTGGCTGGATTGGGATTGATTGTGGAAGGTTCGGGAGTGTGGCAACAAGTTCAGATGTTTCACGGATTAGTGTGGAGGTTCAGAGATTGATGGGAGAGTTTCGTTAGACATGTCTTTCCTTTGTTATCATGGAAGCATATGGAGGAAAGAATAGTATGCATGGAGAGATAGTGAAAGGTGTGGTGATCGATGGAAGGATCAGGATTCATTGTTTATGTTTTACTTATACAGCTGTCTTTACTGTTAGTTTGGTTGAGTGCGAAAACGAAGTTGTGTTTTACCTTACCTCTCATTCTTATTCCTCTACTGCCACAGTTCTCCACATATTTATTTAGTCTTTTACC